TAAATCATAAAAAAAATTTAATTTTAAAAACTAGAAAATATTACTTTTTAGATTTTTAGAAATATTTTATAATAGATTAATTAATTATAATTATATGAGAATTTTAAGAATAGTGAGGATTATCGAAGTCGATCATATGGATTTTGTAGAAAGAATATGATTTTCTATATTTTTCAAACTAAATGTTCAAATAAAATTTATTTAAAAATTCACAAAAATAAAAATGAGGGTGTTAATGTCAAAATGACATTAGAGTCTAGCGAATCCAAATCAAGTGAAATAAAAGTTCCACATGATGATTTTTACGTAAATAATTAGAAATGATTTAATTGATCAAATTAAGTTATGTAAAAATTAGAAGAATTCTAATTTAATGAATAATAATTTCAAAACTTGAAATTAGACAAAGTATCACTAAAGAAAAGAAAAATTAAGTTAAAAGTAAGAAATACATAGTTATGACCTTACAAGAGTGATTGTTGGAATTATCTGTGTTTGAGAGGATTATTGAGCGATGTCCATGACTTGAAAAGCTCTCATTGGACATAGATGATCAAAACATTCTGTAAATATTTTTTCAGTAAAAATTAAAAATAGTAAAAATAAAAAAGTACAATTCAGCATTACGATGACAATGTGTCAAAATCTTGTGTGTTCGAGGTGACTACAATGTAATGTTCATAACCTCAAAGGTTTTTTTTGAACGTAGACGATGTGGACAATCTATAGATCTTCTTGCGAAGTTTAGAAATCAATAAGGTGGGTTGATGAATTATCTCTAACAATTATCACTTGTGGAGTGAAAAAATGATGACTTTATAGATCTATGACAATTGTCACATGATGGAGTTAACTTCAATGAAGGTGGGACACATCTTAGGAAGTTTTATCTTTAGGTTTGCACAACAAGATGAGACTTTTATCGTATTTGATATGTTTCTAAGAGGTGGTGACTAATATCTTGGCAAATTGTTTTTTTTCTGATGACAGCTTGTTTGTTGATCGATCGGAGATAATTTACTCAATAAATTTGTAATCTATTTATCTAGAATCATTTTGTAATATAAGGTAACAATATTTTGTAAATTACTTTAATGAGTTTTTTGTTGATGGTTGAGCAAGTATGATGGCTTAATTATTGATTAGGATTCCACAAAAAAATCATAATTTAATTAAATAACAATATGAGTTTTAGTTTTAGTGTAAATCAAACCTTATCTAATTATCTGTCTACATGAGAGAGTAAAATAAATACATGAATACCTTTATAATGTGATATCATAAGAATATATATTTCTCACAAAATAAGGGGTATTGTAGATATCAAAAGTCATTAAAAATCTTGTGAAAAGTTGTAAATGTGTTTAATCCTATATTAGTTATTTTCTAAGTTATGAGATGAATATATACTAATATAAGATTTGGCAATCTCAATAACTCTTTCTCTCTCACGCATGTGTACGAGGAGTCCTTACCTCATGGTTGAATGGTCATTGATGATGTGGAAGGAGAGTGATGCACATATGTCTCCTATAAGTATTTCATCGATTGAGCCTTTTATTCATGGCTCCACTTGATTGTGCTTCTGACTTACTTATGGGTCTAGTTGGCCAATGGGTCTTTCTTTTTCTAGATTTTTATTTTATTTTATTTCTCTTTATTTATCTCAAAAATATTATTATAAAAATTATAGAAATTTATTTAAAATCACATAATTAACTAAAAATTCACATCAACTAACTAAAACTATTTTTCACAATTTAATGTAAATATAACTATATTTATTATGTGTTAAGAATTAAACTATATTATTAATTAATTATTAACTCATTATAATAAATACTTATTAGTTATCATTATTAAAGTGATTTATTAAATTTTAAGTAGTTAAAATTATACTATTTTGCTTAAATATAAATATAAATATATATAGATATCAAGTCTTATTTTAATTTTACGAAATACTAAATTGAAAAAAAATAAGAGTCAAATCACCTCTTGTTTATAAATAATGACTCATGACCCTTGAGTCACATGGAGTTACTCTTAGATTTAAGTAAAACTTTAATCCATTCGCATTATATTTTACCATTCTATATTGTCTCAGCACAAGATTCTGAATCTCAAACAATGTACTCTACAATCAATTTGCCAAGGACACGTTAATAATTATATATGCGACAAAATTTCAATCTTTTAATACATATACGTACGCCGTTCATAGATTTAGAAGAGAATCGACGGCAGTCGAAGAGGAAATGAAGGTAAACAAATGGTCTACAACAGAGGAATGGAACTGGAACTGAAAGCGATCCCTACAGAGCAAAAACGAACTATGCTGAATTTGGGAACAAGAAGAGATGCCGGGATCCAATCGGGAGTTCGCTACGACGGTAGCAATGGAAGGCTGGTCCCCAAGATGCCCCGACATTTATTGGCGCAGTCCTACGGCATTCTCCAATGAGATTTCCTTACTTGGCGGATGAGGCGGCCTTCATTCTCGCAATCATCGCCGCTGCGAACTCCAACAACTTGTCTGTCTCCGGCATCACCCCCTTCACAGCCTCCTCGGCGCAGAACCGATCAGCCCACGCGGTCAACTGAGGGAACTTGTCTCCGTCCAGGATCTTTAGGCCGGACATCTTCTCGGTAACCCGGATCCACGCCAAGTAGCTCCCCAGGGCAATGTCCAAGTATCCCAAGGCGTCGCCGCCGAACCAATTCCCCCCCTTGCCACAAGTCTGGAAGGCCTCCTCCAGCAGCTGGACCCCTGCGAAGGTCTTCTCCGCCACGACCGCCCGCTCTTCGTCTGTATTCGCCATGCTGTACTTCCTCACCTCCGGATTCCACTGGAGGCGCCGAAAATCGAAATCAGAACCGAGACAGGAGGAACTCATCACATCGTAAATTAGGGATCGGCGTCAGATCGAGACAGTGGTGGTCTCAATTTACCGTATCGTCGATGTAGGCCGCCCAGAAGCGTGCGATGGCCCGATCGTAAGGATCGGCAGGGAGTATGGGGTGGACGGAGGTCCATGTCTCGTCGATGTACTGCACAATGATGAGGGACTCGCAGATAGGATTTCCTTTGTGAAACAGGACGGGTATCTTCTTGTATACGGGGTTAGATTTGAGCAGGAGCTCGCTCTTGGGGTGCATCGTCTCCGCGATGAACTCGTAGTCCACCTTCTTCAGGTTGAGGGCGATCCTCGCCCTCATCACGAAGGGGCTCATCCACGCGCCAAGTACCTTCACGTCCTCCGACTCCGCCATTCCTCTCTCTCTACGTCTCTCTAACCCTCCTCCGAAGTGCTCAGTGTCGAGTCTCAGAAGCCTCAGCCTGGCTAAGTAGCCACGGATTTCTTGTTGGAGAAGGCGAGACGTGATTGGTGGTGTGGTGTGAGTGGGCGGACAGAGTCGCCGTTCCACGCGAGCGAAGACGAGATGGTTTCTGGAAGCTTCCTGACTAGTTGAATAAATGAGGCGTTGTGAACCTGGAAATCCCACGTCTCCCGACGATCTAGAAGCTGCCTGTCGGCTGACTAAATAAGACTTTATGGGCCTGGAAAGCCCACATGTCTACTGTGTGTAGGCCCATGTACGCATCCCAGCCCAATAGCCGATCTCAAGAACGCCGCCTAATTGGGGGGGAGTTTTCGAAGTTAACGCCTAATGATCGACGCGGCCACTTGCTGGTCCTGGTGAAAGATAACGACTTTCGGACACGTTGAGCCCGTCAGACCGACGCGTGCGCGCACGTCAGATGTTTGTCGAATTGTCGTCCATGGTGAGACCAGACTACGGAAATGGGAGGGTGAAGGAATTCCATGCTGAAGATCTCCTTCTTCTTCTTCTTCCTCAGTTATTGAGGTCATCATTCTCCTAGCCCACCGGACACGTCTTCGTGCAGGGAGCCATGGAGATGTCACGGTAGATGCGATGAAGTCTACCCGCGTCGGAACCGTCCATCCCTTTCCTCATCGTCACGAAATGTGCACGTCGGAGGTAATCGTCTAGGGACAATAATTGAAGGACTAAAAGAGATCGGCCACGGGGATGTCTCGACCGAGATAGAGATCGCTGCTAGCCGTAAACAACTATGCCCAGAACCATCAACGATCATTTTCAGTCTTTTGATTATATTACGTGATTGTGTTTTTATACATTATCGAATTTCGTTATTGATTTCTTTGAATTTATTACTCGTCTCATCGTCAATCCACTTGATTCTGAGCCGCAGGGTTGGTGTGACACTCCCGGAACCTCCGGACTGGATTGACACCGGGAGTATAATGAAGCAGTTTGCACATCAGCCTATCTCATAAATAGATTGATATCTCCCAATCTAGATCACAAATCACCATATGGAACTTTATTTCATCAAAAACCAAATTACATGTTTCTTAAAGTCTTTGGATGCCTCTATTATCCTAACCTTCGAGCTTATGCACCAAAAAAATTAAGCACACGATCTGAAAGATGTGTGTTTCTCGGTTATAGTTCCTCACATATTGGATACAGGTACTTATCTTTACAAATAGAAAACTCTTCAACTCCCGAGATGTATTTTTTTATGTTATTTAATTTCAGTGAGTGTGACTGAGTTTTAATGTGGATGTGCCATGGGAGAGAATTTTCAAACCTTGACCATTACCTATGTAGAGTTACTCTGGCCCATTGTACGAAGTTGATTGTTGAATATTATTGATGTCTACAGTAATATGATGAGAAGTTCCATTGTCTGGATACTAGTTGTTATTTGTGTACTCTTGTAGATTTGCAGTGTGCGCTTGTGGAGGCTAGTAAATATTGTTGTTGAGAGATTGTTGAGATTGCCTATTACCTTGTTGATATTGGGACTGTTGGTTAGGTCGTGGTGGTGGTTGAAAATTTCTATTGAATCGTTCTCTGCAGTCAAATGCCTTGTGCCCAAATTTGAAACAAACTTGACATTTTGGTGTGTATTTGTTTCTATTATTGCGTCCTCTTCCTCTATTCCTTCATCCTTGGTTGTTTCTGTCCCAATTCTGTGCAGATTGGGACAGATTTGCCGATGGTGGAATTTTTTTTAGAGTCTTTTCTTCTGTTTGTTTTGAGATGTGAAGATCATAAGACTTTAGGTTGGATACGACTTCTTCAAAGCTGAGATTGTCAAGTTATGGATTCATGCTGGCATAGAATGTATTGTATTCAGGTTCATGTCCATTTAAAATTACATATGTCATATCTGAGTCTTCAATATTGTGTCCACAAGCAAGTAGTTCATCTCCAATGATTCGCATAGTTTAGATGTAGGTCTCGAGAGGAAGAGTGCCTTTCTTGGTGTTGTGAAGTCGTGCCTGAAGATTCATGATTCTTGATTTCGACTTGCTAGCATAATTATTCTTGAGTGCTTCTCATGCTTCTTTTGTTGTTTTCTTGCCGACTACTGTGAAGATAATTGACTCGGAGAGAGAGTTATTTATCAAGGTTAAAACCGCTTGATCATTCTTATACCACATCTTATATTCTGAATTTGGAATGACAATTCTTTTTTCATTGATGATAGTAATGGAAGGAGCTTGTTCTTCGAGGACATGAATAAGATCATGTGTATGCAGCAAAGATAGAAGTAGAGTTTGCCATGACAAGAAATTTTCTCGAGTGAGTTTCAAGGAGATAGATAAACCTGTATGTCCTTGTGCTCCGATCGATGTGGCTTGTGTGACTGGCATATTGTATGTTTCTCCAGTCATCGTCTTTCCTTTGCTGTTTGAATCGCTCATATTGATCTTCTTGATGCTGTTAGGCAGAGTGCTCTGATACCATGAAAGAAATAGAAGATAGAAGAGAGGAAAGAAAGAAAGAAGGAGGTAGAAAGACGTTTTCAGAAAGAAGAATGAATTGACTCTTGATCGATGTTATTTCATATGCATTGTACAGTCTTATTTATAATGATTTCAGTTACGAGCAGTTTGCTGGATTAACTGCGAGCATTTCGTCGAACAGTTGCTGTGTATAGCCATTGCGTAGTTGCTGTTGTAGAGGATGCTGACGTGTTTCTTGGCGTGTTATGTGAGTTGTGATTGGTCGATGTCGATTCTCGTGGCGTTTTATTATTGGTCCTTTCTTGAGTCTTCTTGTCTTTAATTTGGGCATTTCGGGATACTGCGGAGGATTCGGCCTGCTCTGTTGTATGATCTTCAATAGAGATCACCTGAGACGCACGCGGATGGGGACGGGCGTCTCACATGCGCAGCTGGCGCCCTGGCCACGTGGAAGACGCGGTAACACAGAAACTCGGCGGATCTACGAGAGATCCGGAACAGACGGAAGAAGTCGGCTGTACGAAGAAGAGAGAGGCCGGAAGTGAGGGAGGATAATATGGCGGAGGATTATCCGGACTTCTCCGAAGAGGCGGAAGAGAGGGAGGATAATACGGCGGAGGTTATCCCCCTCTCCCTCTATAATAAGAGGAGAACTTCACTCTGCGGAGGTTCTCTGAGGGACAACAGAAGGAGAGGAAATTCTGAGAGAGAGAAAGGGAAAGAGCTGTAGAACGAGAGAGAGCTCGAGTCCCCTTCGTAGGAAAGGGGAAGCTTCAGTGTGAGCGTGGGGAGTGCTCAGAGGAAGCTGGGGTAGCTGCGGAGCGCCGGCAGCGAGCAAAGAGTTGACTGAGTTCCACTGGTGACGTGGAGGCTGCTCGGCGTTGACGAAATAATGATCAAGTCTGGTCTCGGGTGGTTGAACGGCGAACCGGAAAGTCCACCCGTGACAAAATGGCATCAGAGCGCTCTACTGCGAGGGAGAGTGGCACCAGTGGGTAGAGGATCGCTCAACTGGAGGAGCAAATCGCCCGTCTTCTTGCTTCCATGGAGACCATGGAAGCACACATCGGAGCCGTGGAGGGACGGCTAGATGCAAGGGAGCCAGCAGCGCCGGAGGCTGTAGGCCCGTCATCTACATTGTGGGACGACGCCACTGATATGTCAGAAATCAGGGCTTCTGTGGAAGCTCTATCTGGTGGGAGAGGTATGCCTCCTGAAATGCGCACTTCCTCGAACAAAGGAGAGCGGCACAGCATCTCGGGCCATGGTCCCCGAGCCCAAAGTCTTCGTCAGTGCTAGGAATGCCAAGGAGTTTGAGAACTTCCTTTGAGACCTAGACCAGTATTTTCGGGCGATACATACACCCGAAGCGGAGAAGGTCACACTGGCGAGCATGTACCTCGTCAGCGACGTGAAGCTGTGGTGGCGCACACAGACGGAGGGTCTAGCTAGACTTGCCATTGAATCATGGGAAGACTTCATCCGGGAGCTCAATGAGAAATTCCTCCTGGCGAATAGTGCGTGGATGGTGCGAGAGGCACTCCGACGGCTCCGTCACACTAGACCCTTGCGAGAATATGTGAAGCAGTTCACTTCACTTTTGTTGGACGTCGAGAACATGTCGGGTGAAGACAAGCTCTTCAACTTCATGTCTGGATTACAGAATTGGACACAGGTGGAGCTGTGTTGCCAGGGAGCACGGTACGTCCAATCGGCGATGGCAATGGCGGATGCGTTGGTGGATTACAAATCCACTAACAATAAGGACAGTGGTGACGACAGCCAGGGGAGAGACGGCTCGAGGAAGAGCTGTAAGGCAAGCAGCCACCGTGGAAACAACAACGGCTTTGACCATAGTCGTGATCGCAGCGGCGAGCAAGGCCACCGCGATAATCGCCAAGGGCAGCGGTCGAGAAGGGATCAGGGAGGATCCAAAGTAGATGCTTCGCAGAACAACTCGCCGAAGCGCGGCTGCTATATCTGCGCAGGACCGCACCGAACTTGGGACTGTCCATTCCGAGCGGACAAAGCCGCCCTAGAAGCCATGGTACAGACGACATCGGCAGGTGAAGCCCGCACACTCAACCCCCTTCCAGTTGCTAGTGCCTTGCAGCATCATCAAGGACTCAGCAACTCAGGAGAGCGTGGGTTGATGTACTTGGACGTCACAGTCAACGGCCAACCCGTGAAGTTCATGGTCGACAGCAGGGTGACCCACAACAAGGCTGTCAACTCGGAGGCACGTACCTTGACCGAAGCCACGCGGGGAGCCCAACTACGGCTAGGAACTTGGGAAGGTCGGGTGGATTTCATGGTCCTCCCCATGGATGACTTCAGCGCCATCTTAGGGATTGATTTCCTAACCAGGGCCCAGGCAGGAATCGTCCCTCAGTGGCGGGCGGTCTTACTTGCAGGAGGACCGGCGCCGTGTTTCGTGCAGGCGGTGAAAACAACACGACAAGGGCTGCAATTGCGCTCAGCATTGCAGCTGCGAGATGGTCTGAGGAAGGGAGATGAGACCTTCCTCATAACACTGTTGGAGCTGGAGCAGTCGGCAGAACCGGGGGAAGATGGGACTCGACCGTCTTACCCCCAGGCCGGCGGTAATTTGCGCGGCCCTTTCTGCCGGCAAACTAACAGAGCAGCCACATGAGGTGGTCTGCTTGTTGGAGGACTTCCGGGATGCGATGCCAGACCTCCCTCCAGCACGGCTCTTACCAAAGCGGGAGGTCGATCATGAGATCTAGCTCTTGCCGGGGACGCGACTGCCAGCTCGCGCCCCCTACAAGATGGCACCGGCATATCTCGAGGAGCTTCGCTGACAGCTGGGAGAGCTGTTGAATGTCGAATAAATCCGTCCTTCCAAAGCCCCCTTTGGTGTCCCCGTCCTCTTCCAGAAGAAGGACGGATCTCTACGACTGTGTCTAGATTATCGGGCAATGCACAAGGTGATCGTGAAGAATAAATATATTGTGCTCAATGCGGAAGAACTCTTTGATCGCTTGGGAGGAGCCCGGTATTTCTCATGGATGGACTTGAGAAGCGGCTAACATCAGGTCTGCATTAGGGAGGGGGAATGAGCAGAAGACGACATGCGTGACTCGTTTTATGGTTCGTACAAGTTTAAGGTGATGCCTTTCGGCATCACGAACGCGCCGGCTACCTTCTGCACCCTGATGAATGTCATCTCAGAGAGTATATCGACAGATTTCTCGTTGTATACTTAGATGACTGTTGAGACCCTGACAACCCAAATGGGCTCAGGGGAAAAGAGGTACCGAAGAAGTCGGGAAGCAAGGCGTGTCTAGAAGTCGACACCCGACACCGACGGAGGGAAAAGAGGTTTCGTCGGATCCGACCGCTAGACGGGAGGCGGTCGCCGAGACGGGCGGATTTCGGCTATAAAGAGGGGGTCAATCGGCCACGAAAAGAAGAGGTCGGAAGAACCTCGTGAAGAACTCCGTTCGGAGTTGGAGACTCGCCATCTCGCATCGGCGACCCCAGGGCCTGAGAGGTCTTGGTTATTTGTATTCTCTCCTTCTGTATCCCGTATCCCTCGTCGAGAGCTCACTCTCCCTCTCTCACTCTCTTGCCCTCTCTCCCTTCGGCACCGGGTCTTCCGGCAGTAGCCGTCCGGAGCGCTGGCGATTGGGAGGTTTTTGTATTAGACAGGGATTTATTTGAGTCAGCGAAGTCTTGTTGATGCCTTAGTCAAAGGGTCGTCATCATAAGACAAATTACCTACCAACTCAATCTGCCGAAATGGCTCACCATCCATTCTGAAGAAGATGATGCGTAGCGCAACCGGCTACAACGAGCACAACCCACAGTATGCGCCCAATATTCCGAGAAGGCTGAAGCTATCTTGGACCGTCGAGAAGACAATAAGGGAGAAAAATTGAAGTCCCATTGCCATGTCTACTTCCTGGTGTAGTGACGGGGTAAACTACTCGAGGATGCTACGTGGGAGTGCGACATCGACCTGTTGCAATTCAAAGACTTGATACACCGATATCTCGACGAGCACCCTCTGACGAGGACGTCGGATTCTTCGTGTGAGGGAGAATGTGACACTCGCGGAACCTCCCGACTGGGTTGACACTGGGAGAGACCACGTGAGACACACGCGGATTGAGGCGGGCGTTTCACACGCACGGCTGGCGCGTGGGCCACACGGAAGACGCGGTAAAATGGGAACTCGGCAGAGCGAGTCTCCCGGATCTAGGATGGTCCCTCTGGATCTACGAGAGATGCGGAATAAACGCAAGAAGACGTCTGTACGACGAAGAGAGAGGCGGAAGTGAGGGAGGATAATACGGCGGAAGATTATCCAGACTTCTCTGAAGAGGTGGAAGAGAGGGAGGACAATACGGCGGAGGATTATCTGGACTTCTCCGAAGAGGCGGAAGAGAGGGAGGATAATACGGCAAAGGTTATCCCCCTCTCTCTCTATAAAAAGTGGAGAACTTCACTTTCTGAGGGATGACGGAAGGAGAGGAAATTTCAAGAGAGAGAAAGGGAAAGAGCTGTAGAACGAGAGAGAGCTTGAGTCTCGTTCGTAGGGAAGGGGAAGCTCCGGTTCGAGAGTGGGGAGTGTTCGGAGGAAGTTGGGGTATCTGTGAAGCGCCGGCATCGAGCAATGAGCTGGTTAAGAGCTGCGAGAGAGCTGAAAGTCAAAGATGGTCATGTTGGACCCTTCTCGTCTCCCCCTGTAAGCCTTTCTTGAGAATAATATTCTTCTTGCTATTCCATTATCGCAGTAGGATCGAGGAGAGTTCCACAGGTGATCTGGGGGCTGCTCGGCATTGAGGGGGCAACGGTCGAGGCCGGTCTTGGGTGGTTGAACCGCGAACTGGAGAGTCCACCCATGACAGTTGGTTCCCAGAGAAAAACGATTACATGAAGTTGTGGTTTTCTAACCCCATGTAGCCGTGCCCGAGGCCGCATGGGTGGCCACTCCTGAGGCCGCATTGGTTGGCCACAAATACGGATATGTTTATTATTGACCTTCTCTGTTGTCAACAATACTGACGAGGGGAGATTAACTTTTCCGCTCTCTCCGCCCCACACGGAGAGTTGGACTCGTTGAATACTCGTTTGGTGGGCGCCTTCTTCCTCACTGGCCACCGGTGGCATCTTATCGGCTACTGGCGGGCCCATCTGATGGATCTTATTGCCACACCTACGGATATGTTTATTATTGGCCATATCTGTTGGTCAACGACACTGACTAGAGGAGATGACCTTTTCCGCTCTCACCGCCCCTCACCGAGAGTTGGACTCGTGGATTACTCGTTCGGTGGGCTGCCGCCACTCCCGTCTCATTTCACGCCCGCAGGTATCGAGGAACGGCTCGCACGGGACGAAAATGGTCCAGAGTAGTGAGTGGAGGTTAGCCCCCTCTAAGTGGCAGGGAAAGTCGTGTATCGGGGTGCGCCACCTCTCTGTTATCCTTAGTTTTATCCTCGCACCCAGTCCGTCTTTCTCTCTCTCCTTTACCGTCTCTCCTTCGTGCCCTCCTCCTTATCCTCGTAGGCAGGTATCCTATCTCCTTCCACTCCCCCCGACATAATTCCTCGTACCCTCGGGACTCTGGTGAACAGAGACTGTCCGACCGCCTCGCGGAGAACAGGGGAACCTATCAGCATCCCGTGGTCAAGCTTCTGAGTGGGCACGCAGGAAGCCGCAGTTCTCCGGATTATGGTGATAATCGTAAATGAGTTGTAAATGAAGATTTACTGGAGTTGGGAGTTTGGAGTGAGGCTTCGCTGACAGAGAACAGAGACGATGGACCCGTGCTCGGATTGGAGGGAGGCGAAGGATTTCGTACTCGCTCGGACGATTTAGAGAAGCAAACGGATGCCTTTCATCGATCTGGAAGAGAATCGACGGGAGTCGAAGAGGACCAAATGGCCTGCAGTAGGGGAATGGAACTGGAACTGAAAGCTATCGCTACAGAGCAAAAACGAACTATGCTGAATTCGGGAACGGGAAGAGAAGGGGATCCGATCGGGAGTTCGCTACGACTGCAACAAGGAAGGCGCCCCCCGAGATTCTCCTACTTGGCGGGTGAGGCGGCCTTCAGCTTCATCATCAACGTCTTGGCGAACTCCGCCAGCTTGTCCGTCTCCGGCATCACTCCCTTCACAGCCTCCTCGGCGCAGAACCGATGAGCCCAAGCGGCCAGCTGAGGGAACTTGTCACCATCCAGGATCTTCAAGCCGGACATCTTCTCGGTGACCCGAATCCACGCCAAGTAGCTCCCTAGGGTGGTCCACGTACCCCACGTTGTCGCCGCCGAACCAGTTCCCCCCCTTGCCACAAGTCTGGAAGGCCTCCTCCAGCAGCTGGACCCCGGCGAAGATCAGCTCCGCCGCGGCTGCCCGCTCCTCGTCTGTATTCGCCTTGTTAATATCCCTCACCTGCATGGCCCACTGAAGGCGTCGACAATCGAAGTCAGAATCGAGACAGAAGGAACACATCACATCGCGGATGAGGGAGGGATCGATGGCAGTTCGAGCCAATGGTGACCCCAAGTTACCTTGTCGTCGATGTAGGCCGCCCAGAAGCGAGCGATGGCCCGGTCGTAAGGGTCGGCGGGGAGGATGGGGGGGCCGGAAGTCCATGTCTCGTCGATGTACTGCACAATGATGAGGGACTCGCAGACCTGGTTTTCCTCTGTGCAACAGGACGGGGATCTTCTTGTGGACGGGGTTAGATTTGAGCAGAAGCTCGCTCTTGGGGTTCATCTTCTCCACGATGAGCTTGTAGTCCACCTTTTTCAGGTTGAGGGCGATCCTCGGTTTCATCGAGAAGGGGCTCGGCCAATCGCCAAGCAACTTCACATCCTCGTACTTCCCCATTCCTCTCTGTCTCTCTCTCACTACCCCTCCTCCGAAGTGCTCAGTATAGATTCCACTCGATCCTTAGCCTTCGTCTGAAACTTCAGCCTCGCTAAATAGCCGCGGACTTCATGGGGAAGAAGACGGCCGTTGGGGAAGCTGCGCCGTCCGGTCGCCTACTAGCCGTTCGTTGGTGTGCGAATACGAGAGGGTGACTCGAGACCATCTAATTTGTTAGTTGAGGCGTTATTGGCCTGCGAAGCCTAGATGCTATTGCGAAGGACCATTTATCTCTTCCGGCCCATAAGCAGCTGAACTCATGTTAGATATGTCCCTTGTTCACGAAAAGATGTCGCCCAATGGGCGAGGGATCCTCGAGGACAGTTGCTGGTGATGACGTCATCAAGTGTAGATCAACATGTCGGGGTGTGGGTCCAGCTGAAAGATAAGACCGTCAAGCCGACACATGAGCCCACGTCAGATGTTTGTCAAACTGTTCATTATTATTCGAACAGATTTAAATAGAGAGGGAATCCTCCAAGAACTACACCTTATTCGTTGAAGATCTTCTTCCAGAGTTCTTTATGTTATCGTTTGCAGAGGAGGCTGTGGGATGTTGCCGAGCTTGTGGCATGGGTTCGGGGTTGCTCTTCTTAGCAATGGCAAGTGGCATGTTGTAATAACACCAAACCAACATAAGCGGGATGCTTATCAATATAGAGCAGGACAGAAGACCTGACAACATCTATTGATTTTGCAAGAACCATAGGACAGAGCAGAGCATATGAGGTAGAACAGTCTAACAGTCGTGAGAAGGGAGCAGGTGCCAACGGGCTTATCAATGCCTCAGAACTGTAGCTAACAACCTTGCGAGAGCAAGGCGTCACATGATGACATCTCAAAGCTAATACGCGCCCTTTTATAAGGGACAGAACTCAGTTTGTACAAGATCGGTAATACTTCCCTCTCTTGTGTATTTTTTTGCATGAAAAATATGATATCCTTTTTGTGTTGACCTTGTTAGGTTAGGTTAACTAGGCATCGAGGAGGATCGTCAACGCCAATCACATGGGTAGATATCATGTAGCTCGTGAGTTCTGGGGAGACAACTTAGCATTAGGGAAGACAATGATGACTATGGAAAGTAGAACCAATGGGCAAATGTTGGTCATCTCATAAAGAGTTCGGAAATCGTCTTCAAGTTATAGAGGTGTGGTTAGAAGACCTGCAGACAATAACAATGGAGGCGATTGCCCGCATGAGATAAATCAGGGCTGAGCTATAATGTTGCTGCTCACCCAGAGGAGCTAGAGGCCCTCTCAATAACGTGGTGTTGTTGAAGCATATGGAAACTTGTACATATCTGGTTGAGGTGTCATACATAGTATGCCAACCTTTCAATACCCAAGGCATATGTAGAGACTCATGACACTCATGAAATTGAGAATTTCTTGAGATATTGACCAAAATTTTAAGGCGAGTCACGTTGTGGAGCAGGATTTCACAATTATTATTATGTATCTTATGCAAACACCAAATTATGGTGGATGACTTAATCCCTAGATCATTGGGACCTCATCTCCACTTGAGATAAGTTCATGTGGGAATGGAAAGAATAATTCCTCTTGACAAACAACACATGATTTCTCAAAAATAAACTCTGCCAACTCCACCACATTGAAATGACTGAGGGAGTATGTGAAGCAGTTTGCTTCACTATTCTTGGACATAAAAAATATGTCTAAAGAGAACAAGTTGTTCAATTTCATAATTAATCTTCAAACTTGGATATAGGAATAGTTGCAATGCCAAAGTATTCAGGATGTATAGTGGCAATTGATGCCTTGATGAACTATAAGATCAACCTTGCTGACAATAAGGAGGCTATCAAATGATAGAATGAAGGTAAGTAGAACAAACAGTGTAGCAACTACAACAAGTCACTTGAAACAAACTAAGGTTAATCTAGATAGAAGCAGTACGAAGAGAGAGGGAAATCCCCTCTGAATCTCCTAAGAATGAATGATTCGTTTGTAGAGGTACTCACTTGCCAAGGGATTGTGTTGACTGTGCATATCAAAGTGGAGCCAAATGGACAATAGTTGTCTGATTTTGGATAAACACCCGTTGAAGAGACCATTATTCCTTCCCTAAACTCTCTTCATTATTAGGTGTGCCTAATAACAATGTATAGAGTCAATAATTTTATTAGGATATCAGCTCATCTTTATGGAATTTATCAGCTATCCACCATGGTGGATAGCAAGGCAACCGACAACATTATCTCATAGAAAGTAGTCACTCGATTAGACTTAGCATTGCCACGAGAAGAGGTCCATATTGATATTATCAACTCAATAGCACATGAGATCTTGCTGCATGTCAAAAGATGGATAGGGTCAGTAGACTTCGTGATCCTAGTCATGGATGATTTCGAAATAATCATGAGGATGAATTATGGACACAAAATATTTTTTCACATTATTTTGGTGTTTTCACCAAAGGCTTGGTACACCCATATTTTGTCCCAAAAGTAAGGAAAACACTTGTAATTTATGGATCTAAAATATTATTTACCCTAAAACTACAAGATAGATTGAGAAACGAGGCCTATCCATAAACATTCAAGAACTAGACAATGAGGTTTGTCGACAAAACTTGAGTGTCACTTAAAAACTGATGCATACGACATGGTAGTAGTGATGGAGGCCGGCGCATAAAGCCAACCTCTACTTGGAGTTGCGTGACTCTTAAAAGAGTTTCAAGACCTATTACTAGAAAGAATTTCAACACGTTTACCACCTTGTCATGAGGTGGAGCATGGGAGAGAGCTTACATCGGGCACACGCCCACCAGCAAACGTTCTATACAAGATGACACCAATGTTTCTAGAGAAGCTACATAGGTAATTGAACCAGTTGCTTTATACGTGACTCATCAGTTAGTCTAAAGCTCCTAATGATACTCACGTCATTTTTCAGAAGAAAGATGGATCACTATAGTTATACATGCTACTCCACATGTGTAAGACCTGTTCGATTGTCGTTGGAAGAGAGCTTGCTACTTCAATTATGTATCTGAAGAGTGAATAACATCAAACTACGTTCTGACTTCTGGTGCAGCTGAGGGGCTGCGTGTATACTGGCTCTCTTATGGTGGGCATCTGCTACGGCTGTCATTGGTCACTAATGCCACAATCACCTCGAAGATCTTCAGCATGAGGCACATGGGAATGATATTCAAATGTTGTCGCCATCACTACCTCGAGGCCTCCGGTGAGACGACCTACTACTTTGACGAAGTGCAAAACGGCACAGCTTTATGGGATATGACGTTCTCCATGTCAGTCTACTAGTTATCTTCCAAAATCATCTCTTTTGTCATTCAATCGTCACTACACTATTCCTTATTCGCTGGTCGTCTTCGGGGGCCTCGGGCAGCTTTTACAGGTGCTTTCCTGCTCGCAGCTCTCATGGATATGCGGCAAAATTTCAATCTTTTAATACGGATGCGTACGCCGTTCATGGATCTGGAAGAGAATCGATGGGATTGGAAATGGAGGAAAATGACAAACGCCCAACAGTAGGGGAATGGAAGTGGAACTGAAAGCGCTCGCTACAGAGCAAAAATGAACTCTGCTGAATTCGGGAACATGAAGAGCAGGGGGGATCCGATCGGGAGCTCGCTACGACGGAGGCTGGACCCCGAGAAGCCCCGACATTTATTGGCGCAGTCCTACGGCATTCTCGAATGAGATTTTCCTACTTGGCGGATGAGGCGGCCTTCGACCTCGCCATCATCGCCGCGGCTAACTCCAACAGTTTGTCTATCTCCGGCATCACCCCCTTCACAGCTTCCTCGGCACAGAACCGGGCAGCCCACGCGGTCAGCTGAGGGAACTTGTCTCCGTACAGGATCTTCAAGTCGGACATCTTCTCCGTGACCCGGAACCACCCCAAGTAGCTAGCTACCTAGGGCGATGTCCAAGTACCCCACGGCGTCGCCGCCGAACCACCTCCCCCCCTTGCCACAAGTCTGGAAGGCTTCCTCCAGCAGCTGTGCCCCGGCCAGGATCTGCTCCGCCGCGGCCGCCCGCTCTTCGTCTGTATTCGCCATGTTGTACTCCCTCAACCGCGGGTTCCACTGTAGGAGTCGAAAATCAAAATCAGAACCGAGACAGGAGGAACTCAACACGTCATGAATTAGGGATCGGCGACAGATCGAGACAAAGGTGGCCCCAATTTACCTTGTCGTAAATGTAGGCTGCCCAGAAGCGTGTGATGGCCCGATCGTAAGGATCGGCAGGGAGTCTGGGGTGGACGGAGTTCCATGTCTCGTCGATGTACTCTGCACAATGATGAGGGACTCGCAGATAGGATTTCCTTTGTGAAACAGGACGGGGATCTTCTTGTGGACGGGGTTAGATTTGAGCAGGAGCTCGCTCTTGGGTTGCATTCTCTCCGCGATGAACTCGTAGCCTACCTTTTTCAGGTTGAGGGCGATCCTCGCCCTCTTCACGAAGGGGCTCGCCCACACGCCAAGTACCTTCACGTTCTACGACTCCGCCATTCCTCTCTCTCTCTCTCTCTCTCTCTACCCCTCCGAAGTGCTCAATGTCGAGCCTCTGAAGCCTTGGCCTGGCTACGTAGTCGCGGATTTCTTGTTGGAGAAGGCGAGACGTCGGTGGTGGTGTTAGTGGGCGGACAGAGTAGCCGTTCCACGCGAGCGAAGACGAGATGGTTCTGGAAGCTTCCTGACTAGCTGAATAAATGAGGCATTGCGGAGAACCTTATGGAACTTCAAGATCCTACGTCTCCCGACGATCTGGAAGCTGCCTGTCGGCTGAATAAATGAGACTTTATGGCTCAGGAAAGTCCACATGTCTACTATGTGTTGGCCCATGTACGCATCCCGACCCAATAGCCAACCTCAAGTCGCAGGTGGCGGGTGACGATATCAGCTCTGCCCCTCGTTTCTTGTCCACTCAAGAATGCCGACTAATTGGGGAGGAGTTTTCGAAGTCAACGCCTAATGATGACGCCACCATGGCAGATCGATGTGGCCACTTGCTGGTCCTGCTGAAAGATGACCTTCGAGCACGTCGAGCACGTCAGACCCGACGTGGCCACTTACGTCAGATGTTCGACAATTTGTCGTCCATGGTGAGACCAGACTACGGAAATGGGAGGGTGAAGGAATTCCATGGCGCTGAAGATCTCCTTCTTCTTCTTCCTCAGTTATTGAGGTCATCATTCTCCTAGCCCACCGGACACGTCTTCGTGCAGGAAGCCATGGAGATGTCACGGTAGATGCAACGAACTCTACCCACGTCGGGACCGTCCATCCCTTTCCCTCATCGTCACGAAATGTGCGCGCCGGATGTAATCGCCCAGGGATCGTCACGAAATCTCGTCGACGGAGATAGAGATCGCTGCTTGCCGTAAACATCTACGCCCAGAGCCATCAGCGATCGTTTCCGGTCTTTTGATTAGATTCCGGTGATCGTGTTTTGCACATTATCGGATTTCGTTATTGATTTCTTTGAATTTATTGCTCGTCTCACCATCAATTTTCTCGATCCTGAGCCTGAGGATTGATCCCCGGAGAAAAACGATTACATTAAGTTGTGGTTTCCCTGCTGCAGGGGGTAAAACCTCTCTCTTTCTAACCCACGTGGTCACGCCCGACGCCGCACCTACAGATATGTTTATTATTGTCCTTCTCTATTGGTCAACGACACTGACAAGGGGGTATGACCTTTTCCGGCTCTCCCCTAAACGGAGAGTTGGCCTCGTTGATTACTCGTTTGGTGGGCGCCCTTTCTCACTTGCCGCCTGTGACATCCCGAGGTCAAGCTTCCGAGTGGGGACGCAGGAAGCCGCAGTTCTCCGGATAATGGTGATAATTGAAGCCCAGCGCCATTGCTGCAGTTTCTATCGTCTCCATTGCGCGCAGCTCTGAGCGACGAGGATCGGGAAAATGATTCGGGTGCTTCTTCTCCTCCTCTTTTCCGCCATCCCTTTGCTTCCATCCTCCTCCGGCCTTCCCTTGTGCGCCGACTCTCGTAAGTTATCTTTTGTCCTTGAGCTCATTTGCGCCATATGCTGTTGAGGGATCCTCTGTTCTTATCTTCGTTACCCTCTCCGGCCCCTTTGGATGTTTGCTAACAGGGGCACCCATCACCATCAATGCTTCCCTGCCCTTCTGCAACTACACTGGGAGAAGCTGCTGCAACGCCACCGACGATGCCTCGTGGAGGAAGCAGTATGAATCCATGAACATCTCGGGCACCCCTTGCGATTCAATCGTCAAGTCCATACTCTGTGCTGTAAGTATCCTTCGACTTGTTCCTTGTTGTTTTCTCCGCACTCGAAACCTGGAAACCTATCGAATTGGGACACGATCACGAAGATGGAAACATCCTTCTTTACCCCATTTCGGTGATACTAGCGGCCTTGGCATGAAATTGTGGGACATATCTATAACCAGGTAGCATGTCGGATCCAACATCCTAGAGTGATGTGAATTCTCCTGGACTGTTCCGATCCAACATCCTATAACCGGGTAACTCTTTCTTCTTTCTCGCCACTTCCCCAAAGGAGGACATGTACAAGCAGTGACCATCAAAATCGATTCTTAGGGCATGAGCCTTAAAGCAAGAAAACGTGTCGATTCTGCGTTCCAGATTTCTCATTGGTATCCACCACCTGTGAAATAATTTCCAAAGAGTTACTAATATCGCCAAACCAATAAATAGGTTAGACGCGGTTGTGGTCTCTGAACATTTCTGGAGGATACTTGGGAACTTCCAGTTTTGATGAAAGTTCTCTGGTCAATCACCCTTCGGGATCCAAATGCGGAGCACTACTCCCCAGAGAAAGATCTTTATCTTCAACCGAAGGGTTCTTCCCCGAGCGGTGCCGCTCTACGGAGCACTTCATCCTCGATTAAAGCTTTTTATAAATAATCTAATGGAGATTCTGCCTCTACCGTTCGGCCTCTTTCTTCTAACGCCCTTTTTTTCTCCACTTTTCTAGTAACGTTTGAATTCTGCTGTATAAGCGTTTCACTTTGTTAAAGTGTTATCCTTCTGTCAGATAATTTTTTCTGCAATTTTTCTGATGTTTGCATCCAACGATTTTCAGAAATGTGATCCATTTGCTTCAAAGATCTTTCCCAGCACATCAATTGTGCGAACTGTTCCTACGCTCTGTAACACTTCTGCTCCTGTAAGCTCCCTGTCGGTAGGTGCTTCAAAAGCCTTCTGTGAGCAGGTATGGGACGCGTGCAAAGACGTATCAATAAAGAATTCTCCATTTGGAACTTCTGCTGTGCTTTCCGAGAAATGGCAATCAGAGAAGGACTTTTGTCAAGCGCTTGGAGGGTCATATGGTAATGATTCAGTGTGCTTTGATGGGAAGCCTGTATCATTTAATAATACCCCGAGTTCGCCGGGTCCCGAGGGTGTGTGCCTTGAACGGCTCTGGGGCGATCCCTTCATCAATATAGTCCCCCATCCCGATGGGTCCAACCGTGTGTTCGTTTCTAATCAAGAGGGTAAGATATTTCTGGCTACAGTGCCTGAACAAGGATTTAATGGAACACTAGGGATAAACACAGAAAACCCTTTTTTGGACATAAGTGGTTTGGTTCACTATGACAGTGAATTTGGACTTTTGGGAATTGCATTTCACCCAAACTTTGTGGCCAATGGCCGTTTCTTTGTCTCTTACAATTGTGACCGGACCCAGTCTACAAGCTGTTATGGAAGGTGTTCATGTAATACAGATGTGCAATGCGTCCCTTCAAATCTTGGGAGTGAAGGGACATCTCAGCCTTGCCAATACCAGAGTATAATCGCTGAATACACTGCCAATAGTTCCTCGTCCACACCATCCATGGTATTCTCAAACCTTTGGCTGCCAAAGTGAATATTCAAGTCTCTTATCAAAAATGTGTTGCATTTGTCAAAAAACGATTTTGATTGTGTCTTGTGTGATATCTCTTGCAGGCGGCCACTGCTAACCCAAATGAAGTTCGAAGAATTTTCTCTATGGGTCTTCCATTCACATCTCATCATGCAGGTCAAATCCTTTTTGGACCAACTGATGGATACTTATACTTCATGATGGGGGACGGTGGTTCTATTGGCGACCCTTGGAATTTTGCACAAAATAAGAAGTCATTTCTTGGGAAGATTTTGCGCCTTAATGTGGATGTGATGCCAAGTGAGTAGTCTAGACTTTCTAGATCAGACCGCCTAGTTTCTTCCATCTTCTTCTTACGTTAATTTCCTAATGCTCCAATTTTAGTTTACTGCTCTTTCAAAGTGAATGTCACTGACAGATTGTGAACTTGGTAGGGCACGGACACTAGAGGTTTTCGTTCTTCTGATATTATTTTTTTGACCCTTGCTAACTGTGTAACATTGTCTTTCAAAAATGTTTTAGTTTCTCCCACTGTGTTCACATCCAATCCTGTCCGAGTTGTGCAGCCAGCTTGTATCCTTTCAGGTTTCTCAAAAGCTCGAATATATTGCAAGTTTCCCAAAACATGCCGGATGCTCCCATTTTTTCTTGGTTGTACAGGCTGGGGATGGCGGTTCATGCTTATTAAATATTCAAATGATCCTCCTTAAAATTGATAGATCCAGATTAAGCATCTCCATGAAATTCTCCTCGAGCTCTATTTCGGGGATCCATTTCGGAACTAATGATTATTTTTCTTGTAATGCATTTTTTTTTTCTGAAGACTAATTATTGCTGGGTTCTTATTTATCTTTGCATTTCCTTCTTTTATATAAACATCTAGTTTAGTGTCTTAGTCATTCCGGGACATATAATTAATCGTGACATTGCAGCATGATTGTGGCAACTGTCCATGTGTTTTTAGTTTTTAGTTTGAGCAGTTTAGAGTCAGCGGCATGACCAGTTTTCTGGGTGTAGCTGATAGCTGCACTGGATTTGGGAATGGTGGGTTTGTAGTTAACTTCGTCCCCAAGACTCTCTGATCCAATGTAAATCAGAAAATGAAAGGAAGATGACTAACATAATAATAAGATCAGAGTTTATTTTTAACTGGCCCAGATCGATAGTCAATTGCACCTCCTGAACCCCCCCCATCGCAATACTAGATGAAATACAAGAATTAACTGGGGAGCCTCTGAGAATTTACGATAAATGCATACTTGAATATTAGAATAGAGAAACTTGAAAGGCAGTTTCTGAAGATAAAATGCCCATATAAATTTTAAGAAGGAAACTGAGCCGAGATGCAAATACTTGGGCTATTACATTCCGGGTAGCTTTCTCCAAAGATGGGTCCTGACTGAATATTCTATTAACTGGATGTGCTCGTTCAACATACAGTACAGAGTGATGTACAGCTGGTATTGGGAACAATTAAGTCTCATTGGAGCTCAAAGATCCGTCAGAGAACCGAGTGTTTGTTGGCACTTCAAGGTGTTCCCACAGCGGAACGACTTTCTCGGAAGATCTTGGATTGAATCATAACAAAACGAAGATTTGGATCTTTCTCTATGTGCTGAAATGACGTTGGGGAACATAGTGAGCTTCTTTGATTTCTACACTGGGAGATGGGAAAGAGAGATGTCATTAGCTATCTGAGTTAAGGCCTTTTAAGGGAGAGTATCTACGTTATCGTTAGGGATGCTAGGGCTGCATATGAAGCAACTACTGAATCAGGGAGAAACATGGGCATGCTGCTTCAGCACCTTTTAAGGTGTCAAGGTCGATGAGTGTAGCTCTGTTGTGTATGATAGAAAACTTGAATTTAGTCATTGGGTCAATTCAGTTTGAGGTGGTTGGAATATGAGCCTCCCTTGGAATAAGAGCAAAGACGAGAAATAAGATATAGAACCCTCTCCTTGGGTAACAGAACACATCTCCCCCCCTTTTAAAACCCTTAAAAAACCAAGTCTGAAAGGGGTTGATTTCCCCTTTCAAACTCCTTGGATTAAGTTGGTATTAGCTAGAATCTTACAGGCGAGTATGGGCGCTGCTCCATGATGGCATGTTATATTAAGGCAGGACTATCTTTGCCGCATACTATTCTGATTACTGAAACCTTCTACTCATCTGTGGTTAAACATGTGTAACCTAAGATTTAATGAGCTAGTTTTATTAGATTCTTAGAATTTCATTGCCTGTTGAAACATGCCCATGTAGATTATAAGCATCTCGCTGTGCCTCGATGGCCCCGAAGTCTCTACTGTCCATTATCATGATGACAATGGTTTGAGTTGTTGCATCTTTTCATGGCCATCTCCAAAGACAAACATAATTTTTTTTATTACTTGTATGTTTGTGATGTTTTTCTCCAAGTTTCTAAATGTACACGGATTAGGAATTCCGTGGAGGTTGTTGTTTTGGCAGGCAATTACTTATTCCCTAATGAAATTACATTGGTCATGCTGCATCTGTCTAAAATTTGCATTCTTAATGTAGGTGGGAAAGAGATGTCTGCCCTTGGCAGTTGGGGTAACTATTCAATTCCGATAGACAACCCGTACCTTGCTTCCAATGAGTCGCGGCCTGAGATCTGGGCCCTGGGCTTTAGGAATCCTTGGCGCTGCAGCTTCGATTCACAAAGGCCTTCTTACTTCTTTTGTGGGGATGTTGGGCAGGTCTGTGAAAAATATGCATTTACTACTTCTTGATCATTTTTATTACTTTCCATTCTTGCATTATACATGCTCGTGTCCTGTCTTGTCATGATTAATGAGTATTACCTTCAAGGCCGACAGATGTCCAGAAAGTGTTGTTTAAAATCTTTAGAATTTGATCATGGGGGTCCTAAGTCAACCCCGGTTGCTGGAAAAGGACATGTTTTAAAGATGCATCATTATGAGGTACAGTCAACCATGGCCTTAAGATCTGTTGTTCAGAGTTAGAATATCTAATTATCTTTCGCTATAAATTTCCAAACATGAGCCTTGTAATTTTCGCTAACCCATTTTCCTGCGTTTATAACTTGCAAAATTGTTGGAGTTTACTTTTGTTCTCAGAAGAATGAACCTTTTTCATCGACTGAAACCCTTTTTAACTGTCAATAATATCCACTGAATAGTCGTTACCAATGAGGATTTAAATGCCAAGAACCGGAAAAATCTCCATCCTCAATGCTTCATAATCTTCTTTACCATCTGAAAATTTTGTGTCTTATGCACCTATGATGGATGGATGGGTAATACTGAAGCGCACACTCAAATGAGTTATCAGGGGAAATAATACGGTTCTAGTGCTTCTCTCTGGCTTCTCCGTCGTTTCCAGGCATCTCTCTGTCCTTCCATTGAATACCCTCATCAACCCTGTTCTCATCATGCCCTGCTGCTCATGGTGTATTCGGCAGAATTCATATGAAGAGGTGGATCTGGTTACCAAGGGAGGGAACTACGGTTGGCGCGTGTACGAGGGTCCATATCTCTATAACCCGGGATCCACCCCGGGGGGGAACACGACCCCAAGTTCGATAAATGCCCTGCTGCCTGTGATGGGTTACAAACATTCGGAGGTGAATGCCAACACCGACTCTGCATCGATAACGGGAGGCTACGTCGACAGATCCATGACCGACCCCTGCTTGTACGGAAGGTAAGTTTTTGAGGTGTAGATGCTTGATACCCTAGTTGATTCCCGTGGGTGGACACGTTCTTGATCGCTTACAGTTCGCATGGAATTTTGCCAGGTACCTCTACGCAGATCTGTATGCGAATTCGATTTGGGTGGGCCTTGAAACCCCGACGAACAGTGGGAACTACACTACCACCTCGATTCCATTCAACTGCGCCGCCGACTCACCGATCTCTTGTGCTTCCACGGACTCGAGCGGCCTTGCGTCGATTGGGGTAATCTTCTCGTTCGGCGAAGACAACGGGAAGGATATCTACGTGTTGGCCAAGAATGGCTTGCACAGAGTCGTCCGCCCCAGTCGCTGTGGCTACAAGTGTCCCACGGAGATCACCCCCAGAGTGGGGAATTCCCCGTCGCCGCAGTCGTCGGCCTCTCCGGGGAGGGGCACCCCAGCGATGGCGGCCGTTCTTGTCTGTCTCTCCCTGCTCCTGCTACTGGGTTTGTAAAGAGAGGTTCTTGCCGTGGACTTTGTTCTTCATCGATTGGATAGTAGCCGAGAATTTTTTTGCATGTAATCTCCTGGAGTTCTTGTGCTTGACGCTGCTCTGTTAATGGTATTTTACTGGTGCTCTTTCAACCAATAGCATGAATCTGTTCCGTAAAGCCGGATGATTCTGAGTCTGGGCAGTCTTTGTAGACAGGGCTTCACTCCAGAGCAGCATCTCCCATGTAGCTCAGAGTCGACCACTCTGACCTTCACACAAAGGATAAAACGTACGTGGACTGTGCTATCTGGGTTCACACCGAGACGAGTCGAGGGGTCTTCACCGACAGACTCGGCGTTTCTTGGATATCCGGGAGTCGTTGACAGTCGCTATCTATCGTCGCCGCCCCCGCCGGCTGACCGGCCGTGGAAAAACAAAAAGATACGTTTCTTGAACGTGAAGAGTCATCCGAGTGGGTAGATGATCGAAGTTGCCACAAAAGCAGCATTTTTTCCAATAAAATAGGCGACCCAATTGATCAGCGAATCTTCCAAAAAAATAATATTTAAACGCCGACCGCCTCTATAATTGACTCTCGAACCACCTCCTTTCGACCCGGGGAGGAGGGGGGGGGGAGCGGGGAGGGGAAGAGGAAGGAGGGGAGATGGTAGCGCCACCGCAGACGGCCGGGGAGATGTGGGCCGGCCTGAGCTCGGCCCTGGCGGGGATTATGTTCGTGTGGATGGCCGCTCAGAGGTTCATTCCGACGGAGCTTTACGACCACGCCCAGAAGTGGACCGGGAAGCTGGCAAACCGCCTGTGGCCGTACGTCCACATCTCCTTCCCCGAGTTCACCGGCGAGCGGATGAAGCGCAGCGAGGCGTACGTCGCCATCGAGGCGTATCTCGCCGCCACCAGCACCGACTACGCGCGGCGGCTCAAGGCGGAGGTGGGCAAGGACAGCTCGAGCCTGGTCCTCAGCATGGACGAGCACGAGGAGGTGACCGACGTCTTCGGCGGCGCCACCGTGTGGTGGTCCTCCCACAAGGCGGCGTCCAGAAGCCAGGGCTTCTCCTTTTACCCGGCGACGGACGAGAAGCAGTACTACGTGCTCACCTTCCACCGGCGGCACCGCAAGATGGTCAACGGCGCTTACCTGGCCCACGTCATGGAGAAGGGCAAGGCCATCCGGGTGCAGAAGCGCCAGAGGAAGCTCTTCACCAACTGCCCCCACCTTGACTGGTCTGACTACAGGAAGCATCTGTGGAGCCACGTGGTGTTCGACCACCCCGCGACCTTCGAGACGCTGGCTTTGGAGCCGGAGGTGAAGCGGGACATCTTGCAGGACCTGTCCACATTCAAGGAGAGCAAGGAGTATTATTCGAAGGTAGGAAAGCCGTGGAAGCGCGGGTACCTGCTCTACGGTCCCCCCGGAACGGGAAAGTCCACTATGATCGCCGCCATGGCGAACTTCCTGGACTACGACGTGTACGACCTCGAGCTGACGGCGGTGAAGAACAACTCCATGCTGAGGAAGCTGCTGATCGAGATCACGCCCAAGTCCATCGTCGTGATCGAGGACATCGACTGCTCCGCAGACCTCACCGGCAAGCGGAAGCCCGGCGGCAGAGACGAGAAAACGTCGGAAGAGACGGAGATCGAGAAAGCTAAGGCGGCGGCGACGGCGGCGGCGGGGAGAGGGAATGAGGAGAGCAAGGTGACCCTCTCGGGGCTACTGAACTTCATCGACGGCATCTGGTCGGCGTGCGGAGGGGAACGCATCATCGTGTTCACCACCAACTACGTGGACAAACTCGACCCAGCGCTCATACGAAGGGGCCGCATGGACAAGCACATCGAGCTCTCCTACTGCACCTTCGAGGCCTTCAAGGTTCTCGCCAGGAACTATCTCGGAGTTGACTCTCACCCCCTTTTCCCCGCCGTGCACCAGCTGCTCATCGAAGCTAAGATCACGCCGGCCGACGTGGCGGAGAACCTGATCCCCAAGACGCGCTCGATCCAGGCCGAAGACGTCCGCGCCTGTCTAGAAAACCTTCTCGAGGCCCTCGAGGAGGCCAAGAAGAAACAAGAGGAGGAGGCGGCCGCGGCAGCCGTGGCGGCGGCCGCCGCCGAGCCCTCCCCGGAGAAGGAGAAGAAAGGAGGCGGCAGCGCGGGCACGGAGGGTGCCGTCGCCGTCACCCGAGAATAATCAATTGATTACTCTGATTTCATGCGTACACTGGTCGGCATGGAGGGGCAGCTTGCTGGACATTTTTGTTCGATCCATTTATTCAGCCTCTTCATCTACTCCTTGGAATCTCGTAAATCTTTGATACGATCACTTGATGGTTTCGATGCACTCCTTCACCCTCTCCGTCGTCTGCCGGACATAATGTAAGCATGATTTGGTAGTACCGGTGAACCAGATGGCCGCGGCCGGATGCCGAGCAGTAGTAGTCTGCCCTCTGGGGAAAGACCCGTCGTCCTCCTCGTGGGATTGGACGATCACAGGGAGACGACCTTTTCAACAACCAAAATCATAGGAACACATGATTGGCAGCCCAGCCCACATACGTTGACATCAAGATCACCGGCAGCTCAGTCATCAAGACCGAGACATTAACAAGATTAGAAGATGGAGACCCTGAATTTTGCTGCGTGAACAGAAGAAGAGAGCGAGAAAAGGGTGTGGAACCCAAATTCCCCTGCAGAGAGAACACTGTGAGCTTGACCCTCCTTCTGGATTCTTGAGGTTCAAAGGGAGCTCAACCTCAGCCAATCAGACCTAGTCCGTCTAGAAGATATTCGACATTAATATTTGCTGGTTGTGTTCTAAATATTTATTGGGCATTCTGGCTATGTGTTGTGTTTAGAAATGTATCTGTACCTCATCAGAAATTCTCCTAGCACAACACTCCGTGAACCAAATGTTTTGTTTAAGTTGAGTCTGAACCTAGTGACACCATCCAATTACATGCAGATTACACAGAAGCGTCTTCTGAATCAAATCGGAAACCTGGATAGGGATTGGAAACCACAACTCAGCCAATCGTGGGGAAAAGCTCCCTTCAGGTTAGAAATAAAAAATGGTTTCAGCAACCATATGTATATAAATAGGAAATGACATAAATGGTGGCACCGTCGACAGCTACTGGTCGTCAGAAGATTGAGTATTTCTACAATAGTTGAAAGTAACTAAATCAACGTGAGTCAAAAATTATCAGAAGTTAGGGTGTTCCACTATCAATAAATTGATAGGTGCAATTCAAGTGGGTCATCCCTACACTCTCATCAGAAGTTATAGTTGAAAGTAAGCTATCTAAGATCACTCAAGGTCAATGTTGTAAGATAATATACTCAAAGAACAAAAAACTCAAATATGAAAGTAAAGAGAGTTTAAAGATAAGATTGTCGCCAAAATAAGCGATTGACTAGTGGAGGATCACAAGATGAAGCTCAGCTCCACTTTGGAGATAGTTGACCCACGTTGACAGTTGATGGTGCTGGTCCACTTCTTTGATCCCCATCAATCTGGCTACCAAGGGAGTGAATTACGGCTGACTCTCGTACGAGCGTCCATATCTCTTTAACTCGCCATCCGCCCTAGGAGGAATACGACCCCAAGTTAGATAAGCGCCCTGCTGCTTATGATGGGTTACAATCATTCGGAGATGAATGCCAAAACCGAGTCTGCATCGCTAAGGGGAGGCTATGTCCAAAGATCCATCACCGATCCCTGCTCGTACGGGAGGAGTAGATGCTTGATACCCCTAGTTGATTCCTCTGAGTGGATATGTTCTTGATCGCTTACAGTTCGCGTGGGTTTTGCGAGGTACCTGTACGCAGATCTGTATGCGACTTCGATGCGGGTGGGCCTTGAAAGTCCGACGACTGTGGGAACTACACTACCACCACAATTCCATTCAATTGCGCCGCCGACTCACCGATCTCTTGTGCTTCCACGGACCCATGCGCCCCTGCGTCAGTTAGGATAATCTTCTCGTTCGGCGACGACAACAGGAAGGACGCCTACGCGTTGTCCAACAATGGCTTGCACAGAGTCGTCCGCCCCAGCCGCTGCGGCCACAAGTGCCCCACGGAGATCATCCCCAGAGTGGAGAATTCCCCGCCGCCGCCGCCGCCGCTGTCGGCCTTTCCGCCGGCAGGCCGTCCTCGCCGGCGACGGCGAAGAGAGCATCGTCCTCGCCAGCAGGCGAGTCTCTTGAAGGAGAGCATTGTCCTTTCCGCTGGCACAATGGTTCCAGAGGTGAAGGAGAGTCCAGACGAGTCTCGTGTGTGATAGTCTGACCAGCCAACCGACGAATTAAGGAGAAAGTTTATTTCCACCACTCTCTACAGTGGTTTAGGTCGAATTCTACCTGGATACATAGAGCTTGCCTTACAACCATTTCAGAACCGAAGCCTCTTTTTCTGATACAGGGGAGTGAGAAACAGATTTATTTTCGGATCTCCTAATTCAATAGCTAGAAAAGAGGTGCACCCTAAAAAATAAAAGCATAGCTAAGTTAAGCAACAGAGAGAGAGAGAGGTCGTCGCCGCCCTCGCCAGAAGACCGGACGCGGTAAAGAAAATCCATTTCTTGCACGTGGAGAATCATCCGGCCGCGTAGAAGTCGATTCCTGACAAAACATGAAGTTGCCACGAGAGCCCCGCCTAGAAGCACTAGGACAGGCAACTTGACTTGCCAGCGTCTTCCGGCAAAATATTGAAACACATTGTTGACTGACTGTCTACATCTCTTGACCAAGCCGTGTTTCCATCGAGACTCGTCATTGCTGCGAGGCGAGAATCTATATAAATGGGCCTCGAAACACCTCCTTTCTACGGGGTGCAAAGTAGGGAGAAAAAGGAGGCGAGATGGTGGTCGCACCACCGCAGACGGCCGGGGAGATGTGGGCCGGCCTGAGCTCGGCCCTGGCGGGGATTATGTTCATGTGGATGGCCGCTCAGAGGTTCATTCCGATGGAGCTTTACGACCACGCCCAGAAGTGGACCGGGAAGCTGGCAAACCGCCTGTGGCCGTACGTCCACATCTCCTTCCCCGAGTTCACCGGCGAGCGGATGAAGCGCAGCGAGGCGTACGTCGCCATCGAGGCGTATCTCGCCGCCACCAGCACCGACCACGCGCGGCGGCTCAAGGCGGAGGTGGGCAAGGACAGCTCGAGCCTGGTCCTCAGCATGGACGAGCACGAGGAGGTGACCGACGTCTTCGGCGGCGCCACCGTGTGGTGGAGCTCCGGCGCGACGGCGCCGAGGAACCAGGGCTTCTCCTTGTACCCGGCGAGGGACGAGAAGCGGTACTACGTGCTCACCTTCCACCGGCGGCACCGCAAGATGGTCAACGGCGCTTACCTGGCCCACGTCATGGAGAAGGGCAACGCCATCCGGGTGCAGAAGCGCCAGAGGAAGCTCTTCACCAACCGCTCCCACCATGACTGGTACGACAACAAGGAGTATTTGTGGAGCCACGTGGTGTTCGATCACCCCGCGACTTTCGAGACGCTGGCGTTGGACCCGGAGGTGAAGCGGGACATCATGCAGGACCTGTCCACCTTCCAGGAGAGCAAGGAGTATTATGCGAAGGTAGGAAAACCGTGGAAGCGCGGGTACCTGCTCTACGGTCCCCCCGGAACGGGAAAGTCCACTATGATCGCCGCCATGGCGAACTTCCTGGACTACGACGTGTACGACCTCGAGCTGACGGCGGTGAAGAACAACTCCAAGCTGAGGAAGCTGCTGGTCGAGATCACGCCCAAGTCCATCGTCGTGATCGAGGACATCGACTGCTCCGCAGACCTCACCGGCAAGCGGAAGCCCGGCGGCAGAGACGAGAAAACGTCGGAAGAGACGGAGATCGAGAAAGCTAAGGCGGCGGCGGCAGGAGGGAATGAGGAGGGAAAGGTGACCCTCTCGGGGCTACTGAACTTCATCGACGGCATCTGGTCGGCGTGCGGAGGGGAGCGCATCATCGTGTTCACCACCAACTACGTCGACAAACTCGACCCAGCGCTCATACGGAGGGGCCGTATGGACAAGCACATCGAGCTCTCCTACTGCACCTTCGAGGCCTTCAAGGTTCTCGCCAGGAACTATCTCGGAGTTGACTCTCACCCCCTTTTCCCCGCCGTGCACCAGCTGCTCATCGAAGCTAAGATCACGCCGGCCGACGTGGCGGAGAACCTGATCCCCAAGACGCGCTCGATCCAGGCCGAAGACGTCCGCGCCTGTCTAGAAAATCTTCTCGAGGCCCTCGAGGAGACCAAGAAGAAGCAAGAGGAGGAAACGGCCACGGCAGCCGCGGCGGCCAAGCCCCCACTGGAGAAGGAGAAGAAAGAAGGAGACGGCAGAGAATAATCAATTGATTACTCTGATTTCATGCGAACACTGGTCGGCACGGAGGGACAGCCTGCTGGACATTTTTTTCGATTCATTTATTTAGCCTCTTCATCTACTCTTCGAATCTCTCGTAAATCTTGTGATACGATCACTTGATAGTTTCGATGCACTCCACCCTCGCCGTCATCTGCCGGACATTCCGCCTGTAGTCGTGGCATCCTAACGCGACTGCTGCCCTTCCCCCCTCCACCTTAGCGCATGTCCACGGCCGGATGCCGAGCAGTAGTTGTTTGCCCTCTGAGGAAAGTCCCGTCGTCCTCATCGCGGGAGTGGACGATCACAGGGAGACGACCTTTTCAACAACCAGAGTCATAGGAACACATGATTGGCAACCCAGGCCACATACGTTGACATCAAGATCACCAAGAGCTCAGTCGTCAAGATCGAGACGTAAACAAGATTGGAAGGTGGAAGCCCGGAATTTTGCTGCGTGAACAGAAGAAGAGAGCGAGAAAAGGGTGTGGAACCCAAACTCCCTTGCCCTGCAGAGGAACACTTCGAGCTTACACCTTACAGCGGTGGCGAATCATGAGAAAAACCAGCAAGAGTACTCCCTACTGATAACCTCCAGCCTGGTTCCTCCCCACAACTGGATATAAATTCTTAGTCTGTCACCATCGTCACCGTCATTCACCTAAAAACCCCGGACACTCGTCGCCACCGGAAGAATGTTAGTTGTAAAAATTTACAGACCATCTTATACCGCTCGCAGTTGTACAAAGCGGAAGGAAAGTGAGAACCCTCCCAGCGAGCCGAGTGTACAACCTCGGTGGACTCCAGCGACGGGCGCAAGGCCGTCCGAACCTTAAAGAGCAGAGGACCAGGAACCCTAATAATCGGCTTTGTCGTCGTCCTTCACCATGAAGCCCACCGGTCCGTCGTCGAAGCCCGAGCCGGGGGCGATCTCGTTCAGATCGAGGTACCGCGGTCTCTTCTGGGGAGCGCCGCCGCTGTCTCTGTCGGGGCTGCTACTCGTCTTCACCACCGGCTTCGCCTCTTCATCCTCCTCCCCCTCGTCCTCCTGCTCCTGCTCCTGCTCCTCCTCCTGTTCCTCCTTTTCCGGCGACTGGATGACGAATCCTGCTTGTGGTTCTGGTCCGGGACCCTTTTCTTCATCTCCGTCCTCCTCCGACAGGTACTGGTTGTCATCCCCGTCTGAGAGCCCGTCGGAGGCGTTCGACTTGGCCGGCACGGTGGACTCCATGTCCGTGTCCGAGAGCTCGTACTGCCGGTAATTAATCCGCGGGCGGGTGGACCTCTTGCTCCGCCGGAGGCCGGACTGAATCTCGTCGACCGACCTCAGCTTGGTCCGCGCGGCGGCACGGCTCGGAGCCCTCCTCCGACGGTGGCGCTGAGGCTCGTCGCTGTCTTCGCTCCCGCTGAGGGAATCTTCCGCCTCTTCCTCCTCTTCGTCGTCCTCGTCCAGGTTTTCTTCCTCCCAGTGGTACTCCTCGTCCTCCGAGCTACTCGACACCTTCTTCTGCTTCCGGTTCCTTATGTACTCCTCGTCGTAGATTGCTTCCCCCATTATATCGTCACTGTCGTAATCCGCTTCGTTATCAGAAATGGCTTCCACGAAGTCCTCCGAGTACCTCCGGGGCCTCTTTCTCCGTCGATTCCTGCGCCAGAAAATGGTCTCAGCGCGAAGTCAACGGCGCGACCAAAGGACGAGGGAGGACGTACCCGCGATCGAGAGTGTCACTCATGTGTTCGCCGTCGGTGTCTTCATTGTCCTTTGACTTTGGGGAGAGCGACTCGTACGAGTCGTTGTGGGGTTGCGGCGGCGGACCGTTCCATCTGCCGTTCGTGAAGGCCTCGACCTTACCGACGACGCTCTCCCTCCTGACGGCTTGCTGCTGCTGCTCTGGAGAAGCCTGTCTTTTCCTGATTCCACGGAACGTTTAAAGGGGAAAAATATTGATCATCTCCCGAGTAAAAGAAGCGAACCAAGCAGATTTTTAACGAGAGGAGACATACTTGGTGATCTTTATGGCTTCATTGATCGAGCGATCAAAATCGTCTGCGGGGTCAACGTATCACTGTCAGGTTTTGACATAATTGGGAAAAAAAAAAAACAAAAAACCCAGCAGAATATAAAGTCGTATGCATTCGGAACTCGACAAGAGAATGGAACTATTGTTGAAGGTCTGACAGGAGCACAAGAACACAGACTCCACATACTGGGCACTCTTTCCTTAACTAGTGAAGGGTTGACCACAGAATGACACTCTTTTTCACACGTGTTTCCCACCCTGGGTGTGAAAAGAGTCTGAAAAGGAAAGATCGTGACCAGATTATTCATGCAGGAGATTCAGAGAAGAAACCCTGCATGGGGTGGGTAGGAGCAACAATGGAACATATACGAGTTTATGAGATTGGAAGACGTCTAATATACTAGAAGGACGTTAATGGAACATATGGTGATATAATATGTTCATAAGGCGGGCCACGTAATCAACATGTAACAGCCAAAAGAAGATACGCCCAGGGCCACAAGCGAATTCAGTTCCTCTGCCCAAAGCTTTCTTACTTATTTCAAAAATCTCGGTTATTCGAAGCTCCTAACATGATCAAACGCATCGAAACTAGGGCCAATCAACACAGCACGATCAGAAGCACCAATAGATACCATAAGGACTGAGAATTGAGAACTGATGTTCATACCAAATGTATAGGTCACAGGCTTCCTATCGCGAAGGGAGCGTCCTGAAGAGATTCCATCAGCAGCCAAAAAGCTATCAAGAAGGAGAGCTTCTCTGTGTTGCTTCTTGAGCAACTTCTCTTTTCGCTATAAAAAAATTGTGTACAGAAAGCAGAGAATGTCACTCGTTTGTCAGAGCAAAAGTAAATGGATGAAAATTTGTCAACTTTCCAAAAGGAACCGTATCTTGTTGTAGCTTGTTTTGTCGAACCATTTTATAATTCCATTCTTTGTGTGGATGAAGAATTCAGCAAACTGATCATTACGTTCATCAAAAGAGAAGGTCGAGATACCTTGTGGATTTTTTCAATCTCCGGGAGAAAATCAATCTTCAATTTTTTACCAAGTGAAGCTTCCGTTCTGTTGTTACTTGAAAGAAGTTTGTCCTGGATTTGGCCAAAAGACAAAAGAAAAGAATGAAGAACAGGTGGAGAAATGGAACTTAGGACCCATATCAAAACTTTGTTACCCCTACAATTTATCCTACGATTAGAAGATCACAAAAATGAAGCACCACTACTTCCATGATATTTTCAGACATGCATAAAAAGAAAATGATATACCATTAAGAAAGCAGTGGACCAAGGGGGAATTCACCGATGGTTCCAACAGCAAAAGAATACAAAGAAGAAAACGACGTGTTATCGCTTTCCTTGCCTTTGTTTGGAGCTTAAACTGGGAACCATGTGAAAGACAAGGTCATCTAGCCAAGCAATATCCAGCCACAAATTAAGCCCAAAACTATTATTTCTACCCCACCAAGCAACAGAGAAATGTTAAGACAGGACACAAATGATCAAGCATCAACCTATTTCGAAACTGAATCATGAAGACACAATCCAAACTTCTTATCTCACTGCAGCTCTCCTTCACTCGTTGTTAGCTCATTTAAGACAATAAGGAAACAGTTTCAGAAAAGCACGCTTTTAACAATCGACAATATCCGAAAAGGTAGGAGCGACATTTCTCTCGAGGAGATGTATAAGAATTTCGACTGGAAAGAACCAGTGGATGTATGATCATCCCCAAATCACTCGTTCAACGAAAAAATACAAAAGTTAAATGCTCTAAGATCAACCAAAGCATCAAATCTGAAGTACATTCCAAGGAGTACTAATTTTTGGGTCGAATTCGGAACTGATCCATTTATCCGAGCAGAGTGACGCAGAAGAACAAATGTCAATATGTCACTTATTAGCAATCAAGAGAATATTAATAACTAACAAGGAACAGAGAAAAAAGCCCGTTAGAATCATACACAGTGAAGAAAAGGGGAAGAAAAGGGCGAAGTGGAAATATATTTAATGAAAAAGGGAGAACAAAAAGACGAAAGGAGCCTACATCTTTGCAACTGTGTGCAAGATGTTCTATTTATCAGACTTCCACAAAATTATATTTTGGGTGTCACCGTCACATGCATCATGTCCCAGGAATCAATCTCATCACTTTCTTCCTAATTGGATTGTCATTGTACACTGCTCCGCTATAAGGCTTCACATTGTTGCATTTTGGATCGCATTTGGCATATAGTTGGTGTTATAATGTCCTGTTTTCCTCATCTGTTAGGCTTACCATCTTCTTCAGCTTCCCCACAGTTACAACGATAAGATTCACTGTTCACATCATCATCATAACTCATTCTGTACTGCTGCTCAGGGTATTCCAGCAAACCATAGCGGATGTTCAGACGCACTTAAGACTGACATGAACCAGTCACAACAGGGCAAAACGAGTTGTTCCGCAATTTAACAATATCCCTTGATACTTCAAAAAGCAGCCATAGATTAACACCTCCCCCCAAACAAAAACTAAGAAAGAAAAGGAAAAAAACGGGAGAGATACACAATTTCAACCCTATTTCAGGGACTTTGCCGATAGCAAACATTTCTTTATTGCCCAGGCGAAAGAAATATGCTTTTACGCGTCATACAAAAATCTAGTAACGTCCGATCGGAAATCCGCAAAATACCCCGGTTTTGAAAACTGAAAGAGGACTCATTTATGGAATCTGAAAATCCCTCACAAGGTAAACCTCTACCAACATTGTCAAACGCACCCAAGGAAGCTGCGGCAATGCCACCCTCACATTGATAATGGAAAATGCTCGTCTAGTGAGCTTGTCAAAAAAAGCACACTTATTATTATCTTCAACACTCGTAGATAAACACCCCCCCCCCAAAAAAAAAGAATAAATATCAATTTTGGTGTACTTGATTAAGCACGCAACACAAGCTTCATGTCACAAAAAAGAAAAAAAAAAAAACCGTGAGACAGCCCATATCACAGGGACACCTACACTACATGTGACACCTAACAATGGGGACTTAATGCTCGTATTTTGGGACCTACAGCATTAACATGATGGGATCAAGTGGGTAGATTCTGCATTGCTGTTCATATCCAGATAAGGATCATATTGGTCACGTCACTTGATCAAAATGAAAGATCTAGACTAGAAAGGAAAAAGAAATGGCTAAATTTTACAGTTTGTAAATTACATATCATTATATATTTGACAACGAGAGTATATCTATTAAATCGAGACATCTGTTCAACCCTAGAACTGGGAGACCTCTTATTCCCATTCCGTACCTCACACAGGCTGGGAAGATTGCCCAGGACGCATAAGCAATGTGGTAGCAGCAAACCGCAGCAATTGATGGCTGCAATTGTTATTATGTCCCTTGTTCTTCTTATTCCCCACCCTCCACCAAACAACGCTTCGTAGCTCTTCCTCCTACAGCAGCACAGTTGCCAGATATCTGTCAACCAGAGGGCCAGATCTCAGCTTAACTGCCTATTCTCAGCCATATTCAGCTAATCATTTGCCAATCCGGTCCAATTATATGACTTTCTTTTTATCCTCGAGACCAGACCAGATGCCCCCTGCTCATCTCCATTCAAATAAAAACCAAACAGATAGGCTATAGCTGATTACAATATAAATAGTAAATTTAGAAGGGAATTGTCCGATTTTAAGGAGCCATAGCTTATTAACTCAATTATTACATGTTGGTCGCAACTTGTATGAAAGTCTAGTCGACCATAACAAATTCCAATATACGTGAATCAACTAAGTTAAGAAGGGCAACAGTGGGAAGTGCTTCTTGAGATGCATCGGGCAACAATTAACGTTTTTCTTTCTCTCACAGTTTATTTTTCTACCCTTGCTCGTCATCTTCCTCTTGTCAGTCAAATCCTCTCTCTCAGCACATTACCTCATCTTACCACACCTCAAACATGAAATGAATAAAGCGCACTGTTTGCGTCATTTACCAACAGAAAGAACTATCCGATTTGAGAAGGTTAAATACCAAAGGCCAAGGTTTTTATCTTGAACTGATGATAATTAGAAATCCAGAACTGACAAAAGTTCATAATCACTATTCTATTAATAGAAAACTATTTCCTTAAAATAATAAGATGACCCAAAAATGAAAGGATGTTGACCCTAAAACAGAAAAAACCCCATTAATTCAGGCACAAAGGTAACACATAAGTTCATTGACTAAACATTTATGCATAAAAAAAACAAACATCAATCAGCAACTGCCAAAGCTAACAAGAACCACACAAATTTGTAGCCACGTGATAAGTACGCATGTTACTCAAACAAGATTAACCTCCAACACCGAAGGAGTCAAACGTCATCTAATATCCATCCACTGACTGTGCATTGACGTGGGCACTGGTTAACTTCATCGACACTAACCTAGCGACAACATGTTTGTGAAGGGATGTGAATGACTTGAATAATCCCCACTGGGTCCAAAACGAACAATGATCTAGTTTGTTTTGCCATACATGGATATGTCCACAGAAGTATCCCAAGACTATCACAGCACAAAAACTAAATCGAATATTTGGCGGTCATTAAATGAATGTTGCCTATCATGCCACTGATGCACTATGTATAGTTATTGCATCATTCTCGTCCGTTTCTTATTTTCCGTATCATAATATGCCATACTCATCGACTACACCCCACTGTTCATCAACATTCTTGTGTCTAAATGTGCCTACTACTTGCATACTGATATACAGACGAGCATTACTACTAACTCCCCTAGACCCGTACTTACAAGAGATAAACTAGCAAAGTAATCATGCAGCTGCTACTTCTTTTTTTCTCGGTTATTACTTAATATTTCCTCGCATGATAAATTTTACTGTTATCATTATTGCAATGAAAAATGTGCACCTGATATGAAACGGAATGGCATTTGCATCTTAATACTGTGTAAAGACTCATTACCCCTCTCCTTCTGGATTCTTGAGGTTCAAAGGGAGCTCAACCTCAGCCAATCAGACCTAGTCCGTCTAGAAGATATTCGACATTAATATTTGCTGGTTGTGTTCTAAATATTTATTGGGCATTCTGGCTATGTGTTGTGTTTAGAAATGTATCTGTACCTCATCAGAAATTCTCCTAGCACAACATTCCGTGAACCAAATGTTTTGTTTAAGTTGAGTCTGAGCCTAGTGACACCATCCAATTACATGCAGATTACACAGAAGGGTCTTCTGAATCAAATCGGAAACCTGGATAGGGATTGGAAACCACAACTCAGCCAATCGTGGGGAAAAGCTCCCTTCAGGCTAGAAATAAAAAATGGTTTTAGCGACCATATGTATATAAATAGGAAATGACATAAATGGTGGCAGCGTCGACAGCTACTGGTCGTCAGAAGGTTTTGAGAAGCAGGAGGTGACCACTGGTAGTGACAAAACTAACAACTCTTTCCCATTCTTTCCATTTTCCACCAGGCAATGCCACAAGTGCTCACTCTTTCACTCTTCTGCTTCCTCTCCCAATGAGCGCTTCTTCCTTCAGAAGGAAAAGATCAAGCCAGGGAGTGCTTTTCAGAAGTGCTAGATCAATCAGGTATCAGCCAACGCAACTGGCATTGACCAATTTAGATATTTGATGGTGAATCAGGATGCTCGAACCCCAAAACTCAGCTCAACCAGAGAATATCCAATATAGGTCGCCCACTTTTTCATACAATCTTTCATAGACTGAGCTTGCGAAAAAGCTTATCTAAGATCACCGTCAATGAAGAAACGAAAAAAGAGACAACGGATAACCATCTTTTGTTGTCAGTCAAACACATCTTTGCTCCATATAATTTTTATAGTTGATTTACACATCCAGACATAGATACAATGGGAATCACAGATCGATATCAAAATAGATGGCTTAGGTAACACAATTCAGGAAATGTGCACAGCAGCAACTGAAAATGATAACATTGGATACTTCCCCCAGATCACTCCCCATGTCTTTATCAAAGTTCCACATCACAATTTGGCACACGCTATCATCGGCAAACAGTGTTAAACAAACGATGATTACCCAGGTGGCATCTCTGATCCTATGCAAGTGGACGTAGGCATGAAAAAGACTATACTTATTTCCAAATAAATAAATAAATAAATTATTTAACATTTACAGCATCTAAAAATTTCAGAGCAGCAACCATCCTCTGGTTCCGTGCATTATCAGCGTCCTTTTCATCAGAATATTTCTTTTCAATGTTGAACATTGGTTTAAATTGTTCACATAATGGTGTCATACATATAAAAATGGTTTCATTATAAATATGCTAAATTATGGCGATCATACAATTTCTTTTGGGTGGAGAGTACTGAATGAACATAAAAAATAATAAGTCACAGTTTTATTACCGAAACTTCTTGAAACTCATCCAAATTTGTCGCGACTGTTTCCCATTGGCAAGATACAGTTGCAAGAGACTGAGATCCCTTTGCTTTTGCTTTCTTTATAACCTCAACTCTTCTAATTTCTCGATATAGCCGATGACCAATGATGGGATCATCTTCGTACCTATGTGGATAGACATCAAGTATATCAAGATTCCATTTCATTAATCATACAAAAAAATCGTAACAAGTGCAGCTTCTTTTTCTCGTTCTCATACATGCATCCAAATATTTTAAATAAAGAAACGAAAAACTTAGTTACGTGGTTAAAGGACCCAGAAACAACTGGCAGTGTAGAAACTAAATGTATCTTAATATGTTAACCAAATTTGTGGGGTGTCAATATTACCAGAATGAGATTCCATGGGAGTCACCACCAACCCGCTCTTGACGAAATGCTGCAAGTTGAATCCCATGCTTTATGGAGTTGTCAATGTAGCTCCTAATATCCTCTTGCTGCAAGATACAAAGAAACCATGAAGCAATGAAATGATAATCAAAACTTAAAAAAAAATCCAAAACCTCAAAATGGATGACTAAATTAGGATCATAATTAGGACACGAGTTAAAAAAAAATGAATCAACCACAGCTTGCACGAAAAAACTGTTCCAAATAAACTATGCCTCAGGAAGTTAAACTCAAATATAAAAGAGCGTCAATTTACAAAACATAATTATAAATTCTCCCCAATGCTAAACTGACATTTGAATAACCCAAAAAATATGAAAAACCTGACTTGTAAAGTCGAATGAAGAAAAAAATGGAAAAAATATCTTCAGAATTTTTTCTTGGGACATGGGTGTCAGAGCAGAGCAAAGTGCACTCTCAAAAAGAAAAACCCGTCATTAAGAGTCTGTACTTTCTACCTGGACATGACGTGCAAAATTTTCCATGAGCCCGTAAAAAACTTTGAGTAATGATAGCAATGTGCATCGTAAAACCTATAGGGATCTCACCCTTTTTATCTCCTGTAGGTCGAATTGTTGCAAAGCACCTATTCCAAGCAAAAATACGAATCAAAGTTCATCCCAGGTTCCCAAATATAGATCAGAACGATGATACCATTTTTATGGTCGACTTAATCGTAAGACCTCTCAGAATATTGGTCCTACATGGAGTCGTCATGGGTCCAGTGGTTGGTTACTTGATCCATTAAGGATTCCCTGACAAAACGGAACGGTTTAAACCCAGGACTATGATTCGACCGCCAATCCAGCTCAGGTTTAACGAAGTACTCCATCAATTATTGATCTCAAATTTTAAAATTGCCGTTTTATCCAAAAGTGGGGGATCACAGGAGAACTATAACATGAACTATAGTCAGTATTAACTCGGCAGTAAAATTCCCAGCCAGCCAGCCAGTAAAGAGTGCCCTTCCTACTTTCGCCGCATGCTTTTCAAACACATGGAAAAGTATACTCAGAAGTATTGCACAAACGAAATGCGTTTGCAAAAGCGTCAAATCAACATACTCTTCCACTTTCTAAAAAATATTTCCAGAAAAACTAGTCATCAGAAAATCAAATTCCTTGTGAAGTCATCTCCGGCCCACTTGCACCTACTGTTCATTGCAGGATTATCAATAATAGACACCAATCTTTCAGAGAAATGAGCTTTCTTAAAACCATTATGGTCATGAACAGACAGATTCATTAGAGTCCAAACAAACCCATCCTCTATGAAACTGGAAAGATTAAGGCAGCATACCACCTCATCCGTAATCAAGCATTAATGTGAGAACAATAGAGTATCCGTAATCAAGCATTATTGTGAGAACAATGTGAGAACAGGCAATCTCAAGCCTTGGTCTCCAAAAAAGATTCGACTACGAACAGGTAGCAGATGAGTCGCCCCGTTTACGATTTGTCCCTTTCATATGAGAGACTTCTCATATTTACATTACAGTTCATTAACACGTCCCTCCCATAGCCCACACCTAGCCATATGCCATTCTCAGTGGGGGGGAAGAAGGAATGGCAACCTATGGCAAAGCAGGCAACAACCATGACGCGCAGCAAAGCCAGTGGCAGAGAGCAGATGACACAGCAGGATAGGCTATAAATAGAAATCTCATTTTTTCCCTCTTTCGGTGCCTTAACCACTTCCTACTCCTTATCCTCCCATTTTTTAACTATGTGCTCACCTCGTTACAGTGATCAAACACTGCAGCCCCCTTTCCTACATCTTTCCTCTTCTTAGGGCTTTCTCTGCTGCAAACGGAAAGGCCATGTAGTCTTTTAAAAGGCTGGCCCAGCATGGCCCAGCCTAAAACCAGCCAGTAGACTATGATCCCAAGATGTCCCAGATGCTTGTGTCATGCGACAACACAAGAAGAAATCGATATAACTCAATAACCTTCGCACGGTAATTCATTCATGAGTGCAAGCTCTTGTTTGAAAACTCGGGAAAAGGAGATCATTAAGTTCGAGGAAGGAATATAAGGTCGAAACAAAACTTTACATTATTACGGAAAGATAAAGCAAGGACTAACGGATCCAAGTTTCATCCAATTTGTCATCTTTATACTGTAATCAAGATGGCATTTTTGGTTTCAAGACAAACAAGATAATACAAAATACAAGACCAGCATACAAAGAGTATTAAAATAAGTTTTTATCGGTATCTGATGAAGATGTTACCTCCACACGGATGTCACATAATGCCTTCAAGATCAATACGCGTGTCTTAGGTTCAAGAGTCTTGTAGAACTCAACTTCCGCCCTGAAATAGTCATTATTGGAAAACATACAGCTAGACAGTAATGACAAGTTTTAGGCTCTGAAAATCATAAGGTTTTAAATAGCTCACCCGTGTGATGCAACTATAGGTATCTCTCCCTCTGCAACCTACAGAATCAATAACTAGGTAAATCTCAAATGATTCTAACGGAACTCTATCCTTCGGTTTTGAAAGCCTGGGGATAGAGAAGTTTACATAGTAGACCAACATACCCAATGCCACCAATCCTTCAGCTTCCTGCATAACACTGTAACCCAAGTAGCGCGCCCTAATGCCATGCGAGTAATTGGTGGAATTGCCTAAACCAGAAATCCCAAACAGAGTGACCATTAGAAGAAAACAATGAATCCGACATTGTGGAGAGTTTCATTTAATAGGATTACTCTATTTTCAGTACTGGCGTTGTTAAAGAATGTTTCAGCTCACCTTTCATGGCCTACAGTCCTTTGGGTTAGCCTTCAATTAGTATGGCAAATTTGAGTTTTATGAAATATATGTTCCTCTTCATAATTTTCTATATTTCCTTCTCAATAGATTTCATAAAATAATAATTTTCCACATAGCACTACATCCGACCAAAGAGTGGACCGGAATTTTATCTGCTAAGATAGATACTGTAGTAAAAGTTAGAAAACAATTAAAAGATATGCTATTTACAAGGGTGAGACCAATGACACTAGAATATTAACACTTTTTAACAAGAATAACGTGAAACAGTTCGAAATCACACATCTAGAACATACTCTTCTGCAATTGATCGAGAAATATTCATGTGAAGACGATGTAAAACGCATAGACGTAGGTGTCTAGATTGTGTTACCATTGAAGCTACACCCATATCCAGTACTCATTTTTTTTCCTTTTTCTGTTCAACAGCAGCATGACAGCTTACAGATTTATTTTTCTCGAGGGATATTTCAGCCAAGAAAAAAATGAATCCATTCTTTTGTAAAAGATGCTACGGATTGGGATGATTCATATAGGACGTTAGAAAATCCAAAGAGGTTCTAAATTATAGCACATGCTACGTTGACGACAAATGTAACACTAATTTCAAACAGGCAGTAGGTATCCCCCACCAATTTAATAGAAGAGAGATAGGTGCAAAGAACCTCAGTCATTAAATAATGTAGTAGCATTTTCTGTTTCTAAGCACTTCAAGATGTTGCTCAACTATTCTAACAGTTATCCTTTCCCAATATAACATGAGCAGCATTGTCACCATTCGCAATCAAATGGTACCTTCAACACAATTAAGTGCAGCAATGCCTCATAAGTGCGGAAGGCATGTAAAAAATTTCCCAATTTTGCGATTGTTCCAAGAGTAATAAATGAACCGCAACATTAAAACCTGGAAGGCTTTTCCACAAAAGGTATAATAGATTCCATCAGTGCAGATACTAATTTCCCAAAATAATCCCTCCCAGTGGCATGAGGTGAAAAGATCCTACGAACATACATCGTCAAATTCTCAAACAGATCCATGTTTATTTGATAGTCGTTTGTGTCTGAAAACAAAAAACTCATTTTTCTACTATCAACAGAAAAGATGCAAATCAGAGTTATTGTGAACCTCCAATTCAAAGCTGCGAACGGGAAAAATCTGAATATACCAAATCTATCAAAGACCTGTGGAACAAATATAGTTACGATTATGGAACAAAACCAATACTCTGAATAATTCTGATCACAAGAAAACAAAACACAATCCATTAAGAGCTCTTTGACAAGAGACCACCATACTATCTGTAGTTTCGATGGTTGAGATACACCAATAACAACCTGTTCTTACCACAAAAAAGTTATCCTTTGAAATCGTACTGATTAACCATAAACTAATTATGTGCTTTCTGATGGCAATCACATGCTACTTATCTTATCAGAAAAAGCACAACCCTAACAGGCGACTAGTGATCGAATCATAGCATTCATACTGAAGCTAGAACAAAATCCCAAGCTTAAGCAACATCCAGAGATAAAACTTCTAAGAGACAAGAATTGGAGCAACCAAGGCTGGAAAAACAATTAATAGTGACATCGAAGGACGACATTGTACATCCATGATAAGAATTACAAACCTTCAACAAGGGTATGTGTACGTCGTCCAAGGTGCTGTTGGGGGTGATCAATGCCGTTTCCAGCTCCTCGGCAGAGAACTCCACGGAGATGTTCAGTAGAGGCCTGAACACCTGGAGGAAGACGAAGAAGTCAACAACGAGAACATAAATCAAACCCAACACAAAGAACTGTCCCAAAAGCGCTGGCGACACAGATTGAGGAAAAAGAGCTCACGTGCAAGAAGTTCAGCAAGGAGGCGAACTCCCACATGGATCGGATGGACCACCGCGGCAGCTGCGCCGTGGCCGGCGGCTCTACCAACGGGGTGATGATTTTGCTGCGTTGCAGCTGCTCTTCCTTCTCCCTGCGCGCGGCAGCGGGGGAGGCCCCGGACGACCTCCTACTCTCTGATGCCGGGACCGGAGCCTGGTACGCACGGTTAGCACTGGCGGAGCGGGAGGTGCACGCCCTCGGAAACCGTGGCTTCCGCTCGCTGGAATGATTCGGCTGCCACCGCTCCTCCGACGAAGATCCGTCCCGGTTGGCGGCCGAGCTTGCAGCACCTTCCTCCCCCATGGTCGCCTCCGGCTTCGGCGGCATCCACAGAGGCGGATTAGGGGGCTGATCTGCTCGTGCCGGTGGCGGACCTGATGGCGACTTGCGACTCCGGGGACAAGACCCCTCGGCGGCAACGGTTTGGCCAGCCCGTGGCCATACGGTGCCACCACCGTCGAAGGAGCTCTCGGAGGACGCGATGAACGGGGTCACACGCTCAAAACAGCACGAGGGAGGGAGGAAGAGAGAGGGAGAGAGAGAGAAAGAGAGAGAGAAAGAGAGAGAGATGAAGGTAGGGATGGGCGGAGAAGAGATGGAGGAGGGAAGAGGGGGGAAAAGCTCTGGAGAGGAAGAGGGTAGAAAGGTAATAAATGGCGATTCCCCCGGTCGTAGATTTGAGTCCGTTCAGTACAAATTCTGACCACGGCGACCGGGGGCCTCTCCTCTTCAGATACTCTCTCACCTTCTGACCCGCCGACCGACCTACGCGAGCCGGTCAGCCCACATCCAGCACTGAATGCGGCCCACGTCGCATCTCGCCACGTACCCCATGGGCCCTTTATTTACCCGTCGTTTCACTCCTTCCCATTCTTATTTCCATTTAAATCAAGACCTAACCAACCTTCCCTCAGAGATGGCATAATGCGACCACCATAACCTAGTCCGAACAATATTAATTCCCCCAAAAATTAATGGGAATTAGAGATCCAAAAAAACACAAAATTACAAAAATACCCTACTTTTTTGGTATAAATGTCCATGAAGGCAGTACATAAATCCTCGTAAGAGTGAGAGGGGTATTCCTATACAATTAAACTATGGTTACACTGACTAAGTTGACGACGATATTAATGAGGTCACAATTAATGGAGTAGCGCGGTGTCAAGATTTTTGTGTGGGGGTGATGTGGCTTATGAAATATTACGGGGGGTTATGTGCAATTTTAGGTACGAGTAATCGGGTCCCCAAAGACTGATAGTTATGGAGGCGAACGGCGGAGGGCAAGTGTATCCGAGCAAATGTGGGGAATCTCGATCCAGACTGGGCCTTGTGGGCCGATTTGAGACCGCTCTCCCCGTAAGCCTAAGCCTAGTGTTCTTAATGGGTTTCAGCCCAAAAACTCCATGATGGGCTAGCGCTTGGTTGGACCCATTCGGATTTCGCTTGATGGAGAGATCACGTTCCCCATCTAGTCTAGATAGAGAAAGTCGTAGACAGAGAAAGATATGCCCACGGTAAGTAAAGAGGTAGACAGAGAGAGAGAGATCCATGATGTAACATGGATCGGAGAAAGGTGAACATGCAGACGACGCAAGGTGATCGGGTCTAAGAAAAAGAAGAACAAGGGGGGGGGGGGAGGGGGGGAGGCCATGGAGAGGTGAGAAGCCAAGGTTTTAACGGGAAGTGACGGCGCCAACACATGTCGGCTTCATGTGACTGTGAGAACTGCCCAAAGCCGCAGTGGCCCCCCCCCTGCGTCCTGTCCAAAGGCGAGGGAATTTGCCGGGCCGAGGGCGGCGCTCTGCTTCTGCCTTCAAAGATAAAGAAAGCCTGGGTGATGCGGGAGAGCTCGCTCAGCGACCCCCCGTATCTCTCTTTCTCTCTCTAAAGCTCAGTCTATCTCCGCCTATCCATCTATATCTTTCTGCTTCTTGTAGGGGGGGGGTCCTAATTCTCGGGCCATTCCTCAGTTGGCCCACCTCTCTCTCCATCTTCCCTTGTGGCCAATTTTCTGTCGTAGTGGGAGATTAGCTGGTGGTCAGACGGGGAGAGGAGCAGGAGGGGGAGGTTGAGGAAGGGGAGAGAGAGAGAGAGAGAGAAAGAGACGATGGGCGGTTGCCTGGGTCCCCTGCGGCGGGCTACGTTTGTTGGCTTCGTGGTGGTCTTGCTGTTCTTGGTCGCCTTCCAGGCGGCGCAGGTGGAAGGTTTCCGGCGCTCGCCGCTCGCAGATGGAGGAAGAAGGTCCGCATCTCGCACCAGTTCGGACATCGTCAACGTGAGCAAGAGAAAGGTTCCGAATGGAGCTGACCCAATTCACAACAGGTGCTCGCTCTGTTTCCATTACTTCTTCCTCCCGATTTCCACTACAAAATAAGATCAACTCTCCCCAGGGAAGATGAGACCTTCCAGCACACCGTAGATCCTCGGCATTGTCTCTTAAACTCTCTCTCTCTCTCTCTCTCTCTCACTCTCGCTCTACATTCTGTTTACGACGGCAGGAGAGCGGGGAAGGCGGGGCGGCCTCCGGGAAGAGCGTAGCCATCGAAAGGTTTGCGGTCTCCGACAGGGCGGCGCCGCAGCGGCGTGGAATTTGGAGCGGTGTAACCTACGCGGGTCGCCTTCTACCTGTTTCCATTTCTTGGAGCAGCGAGAGGAAGGAAGACGCACTGGGCACTCACAGCCGACAGAGTCCTCTTCTTCACCTGAACGACTCGCCTGGTTGTAGACCTCGGTAGGCTCAGAACCCCCAACCTCCCCCACCGAGCGTTAGAAGAAGTGGAGCAAGAGAGAGAGAGAGAGAAGGAGGTGTTCTCCATGCTCCAGAGTAAGAGAGAGAATGGGCCGTAGGCGAAGCGGGGGAGCTGTGTTTTTCTTCTGTTCTACATGGAACCACTGAGACCCAGTAGATACCATCTCAAAGAAAACTTGATAAATGGGAACCCACCATCAACTCCCCTCCCCCCCACCCTCTCTCTCTCTCTCTCTCTCTCTCTCTCTCCGGTCCATTCAAACTCGCGAAAGCGTCGTGGGCGATCGATTCCCTTTGGGGGATTCTCGCGGTAACCAGCGTATAAGCGAGCTGCAGTTCAAAGGGGGGAAAGGAAGGCAAAGGTAGCGTTTTGCCAGCGTCTTTTCCCTTTTTTTCCCTTTATCCAAGCTCTCTTTCGCTTTTCTTGTTTTCAAGGGATCCAGACCAAAGACCCGGTCTAAAAGCGCCCCCCCCCCCCCTCCTTTTCCATGTGGGGGTGGGCGGAAAACCCAGAATTCCGAAATCCACCGGTTTCTCGCTTATTCCACGTTAAGAAGATAGTTGGATCCGGCCCAGTTAAGGCATTTCGTTATTGGGCCTGTGTTGGGTTTGGTAGCAAAAGGACCCATTAAGCGCGTGCGATCCGCCAACGGATTCCGGTGTACGCCCCCGGCAATAGGTGGTTTCCCGGGTGACCATGATCGGTCAAAGTCAAACGTGTCGCGGACTCTACCGTTGGTGGGGAGGACTCGTATAATTTGAAATTAACCCGTTCTTGTAAAATAATATAAATATATAAATTACAAATAAATATATTTATAACTTAATATTTCCTTTTGCAATTGCAGAGGGTACAAATATAAATGTGAGATCATCTTTTTAATCTTCTGAGAGACTTCAATAAGGGTATAATTTATGAGAGAAAACCATGGACCGTGAAATCGGTGGGCGGTCAAGGCGGGAGCGAGAGGGAGTCGTCGATAAATCGGTGGCGCCGCCGAACTCGCCGGGCCTGGTTCACAATCCCAGAACGCGGCGGAGCGCCACAGAGCTACTCTTTGATCAGGAAGCTGCAGAGGCGGAGGAGCGTTTCAATTGACGGGAGGCATCTCTCTCTCTCCCGTCATCGTCATCGACTTCCAGGATGGCCGGCCTCATCCGTTTGTCCTCCGATTCCCTCCCGGTGCTGTTGTTCCTTCTGCTGTCGGCATCATCGCCTCTCCTCTCGCATTCGGAAATCCAGCTTGGCGGCGAGGAACAAGAACAGTATGCTTCATCTCCTCCTAGTGATTCGCCCCACCCGGCTCGACTCGCGGGGAGTTATTTCCCTGGAGAATTTGCTCTCCCAAGTTTTGTCGCGAGTTTGATTAAGTTTCGTCTTCCTGGACAGGAATTCTTCCATCGATGGCTTCGATCCCACTCGGATCACCCAGCTTTCCTGGCGGCCTCGGTAAGGTCCTCATCCTTGGTACTCTCCGATCATCTCCCTCCTCTTTCGGTTTTTCCACTGTGATTAATCTCCGTCGTGCGCATGATTTCTGAGAATTTTCCTTTATAATCGATTTTTGCTCGTCCGCCTCCGCAGGGCCTTCTTGTATGAGGGGTTCCTCTCCCACGAGGAATGCGACCATATTATCGAGATCGTGCGTTCCTCTGCTCGACGATTGCTGCTCAGTTCTTTATACACTTCACCCCGTTGACTAAAAGAGAGCCTGTATTTCACTGTGGAGCAGGCAAAGAACAAGTTGGAGAAGTCAATGGTAGTCGACGACGACACCGGAAAGGCCGTCATGAGTGACGTGAGGACCAGCTCTGGCATGTTCCTCGAGAAAAAACAGGTGGGCCCAAAATATTTCTCCCCATATTTCTCCTCCCTCCAACTTGTCGATTACAGATCGATTGCCGTAGTCACCGATCTTCCGTATGTTCATCAAAACGCTGGATCGTGCGGCCCTGTCGACCCATTCCAGCCAACAGACATGAACTGCACTTAATCTGTTCTAGTTCTGTAGTTTTCCGTCTCCGCACTAGAAACGTCTCTCGAACGCTAGAGGAGACGCTGCTAGTTTCGGTCCTAGTTTGGTTTAAAAGTGGACGATCTTGAGTTGAAATCTGAGGATTAATGTTCGTAGAAATTAGCAGCCTCTTAATCGACCGTGTTGATTGAGAACATGAATCTTGGAGTTGACTTTGCTTCTGTCTGCTCTTCTACAGGATGAGATTGTTGCGAGGATCGAGCGGCGGATTGCCTTGTGGACCTTCCTTCCCGAAGGTAGTATCTTCCTGGGAATTTCGTTCCTGGCAGTTTTGAAAAGTATTATCTTGCAATCGCGCCTGATAAGTTATTTCTTCAGAAAATGGTGAATCCATTCACGTCCTCCGCTACAAACGAGGCCAAAAGTACGAGTCACACTTTGACTACTTTGTCGACAAAGTCAACAGAGAAATTGGTGGCAATCGATACGCCACCGTCCTCATGTACCTCTCGGATGTTCAGAAGGGAGGGGAGACCGTCTTTCCAAACGCAGAGGTCGGTGGCTGTCTCTCTGATCAACATCTAGACTGCATGCACATCACCGCTGAGGAGATGTACTCTCAGCGATCAACATCTTCCTTGCCTGACTCGCCACCCAAAACATTTCAGGGAAAGCATCATCATGAAGAAGACGACTCCTGGTCAGAGTGCGCAAGAAATGGCTACGCAGGTCTGTTGACTACTCCAAAAAACTCGAATGCCTCGTAAAATCATTAGGGTTTTCTCGATTATCTTCTTCTATTCGAGGGGGGGTATGATTGTAGGGTTTACCTGCTCATTTGAGAAGATTTGGCTTCTAACGACTCGCTTTGTGCCGGCCGGCAGTGAAACCCAAGAAAGGAGATGCGTTGCTGTTCTTCAGCCTCCGCCATGACGCGACAGCCGACGCCGCCAGCCTGCACGGCAGCTGCCCCGTAATAGAAGGCGAGAAATGGTCGGCAACCAAGTGGATCCATGTGAGGCCCTTCGAGCTCCCCAGGCGGAGAGGGGGCTGCGTTGACGAAGACCTCAAGTGCCCGCAGTGGGCGGCGGCGGGAGAGTGCCAGAAGAACCCGCTCTACATGGTGGGCTCTGAGAGTTCGCTCGGATTTTGTCGGCGGAGTTGTAAGGTATGCTCGTCATAGGAGTTGACTTTTCCGGTTCTGTTTAGATCCGCTCACCTGTAAGTCAAAGCAGCGCATGCCCCATATGACATTAATCAAGTAATACTTAAAAAGGATGATTTTAGAAAAAAATGGTTTTTATTCCCTAATAATTTATTCAATTACAAATATAACTAATAACTAGAAATGACACTCTATAATGTCATATGGTTGGGCTCACGTGTGGTGACATTGTACATTTTCTTGGTGTCCAACCAGCTATCTCATGAAATTTCACACTAATGACGTTCATAACCTTTAGTGTATTCCACTCTTTCTCATACAATGAGTATTACCCCCTTTATATAGGGGCAAAGTAACCAATTAGTCATTGCGCATACCCTCAATTAGCGTGCTGGTCCGTTGTGCAGCCATCACAACCATATTTTGTGCATATGTCATCACATAGTTTCTTGACACCCCACGGATTGAGTGGGTATTACAATTATTATGCAACATCCATGCCATTGCGTGGTGGTCTCCCATCATCTTTTCACACCACACGTCTTTTATGTTGTGCATGTTTATCATGCAATGTGCACATCTTTTGTACACACCCTCCGCACTATACATACTTGCCATGTCACCTCATTCATCACACTGTGTTCTAATTCTTCTTCACAACATCCTCCCCCTCCCTTAGCATGATGTCCAACGACTATGTGAGAATCTCATCCAATTATCATAGGTTATTCTCTTTCTCCTAGGGATCAACCTCCACCAGCTCACTCTTATACTTGATTAGAAAGCCGGTGTGTTAGTTGCAATAAAAACAGCAAATATCATTGATGATTGTTGTTCATGATAGCCTAAATATTCTTGGTCAAGTGTGTGTGTACTAAATTAAGAGGCTAATGAGGCATGTTGTACCTTAGTTCCATGATGTCCCCCATGTATTACTTGAGTAAGGAGACATAAAAAATGGGAGTATATTACTAATATGAGAGACATTGAGGTGGTAATCTAATTGAGTCATATGATTAATAAACTTGAAAGATCCTTCATATTTGAGGAGTACGAATGACAAATCACATAAACACCTTATCACTACTCTCTAATTCTATCTCACATCAATTGTGATTGACGTTTGTCCTCATATAATAGATGGTCTGAGCTAGGGTTCCTCATGTGTTCTTTAGCATCTCTTCTTCTTATAAAGCTAGAAATAATCCTCAAGTATCATACTCTATTTGTCTATCTATTTGTGAATAATATACCATCAAGAACACAAAATTAGTGCACAATTTGGAGAATATAGTCACTCATAATTGACTAGTGAATTATATGTCCATGTCAAAGTCCAATGACCAGCAACACTCCTCATAACTTGGTGATGTGTGTCATAAAAAATTATGATTTTCTCTATATTTCAAGTGGCTCATGTAAAGATGAACACAACATATTTGAACAACTTGTCCACTACAACCAAAATGGTAGAATAATAATTGACTTGTGATAAAATAATAATGAAATATATCTCGATTGATTTTTGCGCTTGTTTGGGATGGAGAGAGGTTGTAGTATTTCTACCTATTTTGTGTGATCGATCTTGTTTTGTTAACATGTGACACAATTAAATCTAGGCTTTCACATCTTGCTTGAGCCCTAACTAGAAAAAAGAGTGACTAATGATAGTAAATGTGCAATATCAACCTAGGTGACTTGACTATGATGCATTATACATATCTTTCAATAATTTTCATTGCAACCTATTGTTACATAGATGTAAAACTTCCAACCTTTGGTATAAAGTAATCTATCTTACGCCAAGAAACACTATATCTCTTCAGCACACATGTATGTCGCAAAGCACCTTTATTGACTTTGTCTATTGTCCAAATTTCTTGTCATAGATCAAAGATGTTCAAACTTCGTATGTGGTTAAGTACATTGTGATGACCCATTTGCTTAGTACATATGTGATAATATTCTTCTTACAAGATTTCTAATAAAATTTCAAATCATAGTTTAGTGGTGCTACCACCACTTATTTGAGTAATGATTTTGTTATGATTCAAAGTAGTTGACGACCACATTGTCAATATATATGTTGAAGTGACTACCTAAGAAGTAATGTTTTCATGCTCAAAGGTAATGAATACTTACAATCATCTTCCACTTATGTACCGCATAACATCACTTGGTATCATTAAGGTTCTAACTCTTGAATGTGACATGATAACATTTTTTACTTATTACCCTTCTAATTACTTCATTAAAGATGTGTATATCATGAATTATATGATAAAATCTAGTAGTCATGAGATTATCTCATTGATATAATATCACATAACTTATCAAATGATTCTTAACACATATCATCTCACTACCATAGGTTCTCTTTGCGAAGTAGATCAATAGGGGGAGTTGAGATATGCAATCCCACTAGACTTTACTCATCACATAAGAAGCAAACATGCCCAAGCCTAATAGCTTGTGTCTTATTTAAGGGGAGGATTGGGAAGTGTAAGATTTTTGAAGAGTTTGAGGTCATCAATGGAGAGTGTAGGCTCTCAAACATCCCCATGGGCATTATAGTTTTTTATGCCCTTTTGATCTCTAATATTTTCCCCTTTCTTCAATTATGATCTCATTTGATCTCATATGTTAGGATGTGGTGTCCTAACATTTAGTATTAAAACTGTCAACAAAGGAGCCATTGAAAGAGCAACAAACTTGCCTTTATATTCTATCACAACTTATCACTCGCATGAAGACCAAATCATGAATTAGCAAGACACCAAAAAACAAAGGTGCCACTATCAAAGAGGAGTAGGGCATGAATCCTAAAACTCTGCCCAACTAGAACAAAATTTTGGCCACGTACTAAGTCAACTATCCCAACAACTTACTTGAATCAAGTAATACTTAGAATGTGAGGCTCACATGTAACTTCACAAGAGATATTGGTTCAATCAACCATGAGGACAATCATCATGTTGATGAGAATTATATTCCACTATGAAATAAGCTACTCATGCAATCAAGATGACATAAATAAGAGGAGGTTGTAGCATATGAGCTCCTTCACATTGAGATTCCAGTATTTGAAGGTGAAAATTTCATAGAAAGAATGTTTCAAACCTAATTCTACTTGAAAATGATAAAGATGGAAGAATAACACAAGTTACTCATAGTAGTCATGAAGCTGATAATTTTTTCCCTTTCGTAGTATGTATGGACAACATAACATTTATCATTATGAGATTGACCAGATTTTCACTTGTAGTTTTTATAAATATATGAGGTAACCCAAGTTGAAAATGTGCATTGTTGCTTGCTTAACTTAAAGTAAGAAGTAATTGTGGCCAAATTTCTTCAAGAATTCAAATCTCTAGCTACTTTCCTACCACAACTTTCAACTTTTATTTTGGAGAGTAATTGCCTCAATAGATTGAAGTTCGAATTGATAATAGAAAATAACATATTTAACCCCACGAATGTTTTGAATGCACTTAATTTGACCTAATAGTAAAGGAATGCTTTAGCACCTTATGGCAAGTCTAAAGTACAATGACACAAAGAATCATTACCCTAACAAGAGCTTGGAGCACCTATGACAACACTCGTGAGATATGAGCCACAAATCAAGACAATTAGTGAGTAACATGAGCATGCTAATAACAACAAAACCTATTAAACAACTACACATGGGAGACCCTTCATTCGTATGAATGTTTTCTCTCATCAAGCTCGGACGATTTCGGTGGTGTCACCGGTGGGCGACGTGTACTAGTTGATTTGGCAGTGAGAGAGAAGTTTCGAAGTAGGATCAAGATGAAGAAAGTAGCAAGAGGATGGACCATCCATCCAGACTGATGAGTGAGGTTGTGCTCGACTCACTTGTATGACCCTACTAGCAAGTTCTGAGGTAGTTGGTCATTTGAATAGCTCTAAGGCTATTAGAGAGATGCTCCCAAGTTTTAGGTCATAGGTGGGAAAAAAAAGGAACTTGTCACATGTAGTCCTCAATGTGGGGCTGGAGCAAAATAAATAGCTCCCAACACTAAAATCGAAGGCTTGACCCATGTCTAGGGCATGCAAGAGGCACAAGTAGTTCATAGTGAACTTTTTTGTGCTAAATAGGCCAAGAATGGCTAAGGAGATAAGAGGGGTAAGGGATCTACAAATGTTTGGTCATGAAGGCCAAGACGTTAGAGTATTTATTTACTTAGGTGTGATAAAACCTAATCATGATAGAGACAAATGGTGTGCGGTGAAAAAAAAGGGTTTTCTCTATTGGTGAAGGTGTTGTGTGGTGGCCTACATAGTTTGTAGGGCAATTAGGTGCGAGTGAAAGCAAGAGGATGGACTGTGTCAATGATAGAAGAAGTACACACTAATACAAAATAATACGTGTTACTCTCTTGAAGTTGACTTTTAACTCTCAAACAACTATGGCCAGAAAAGGAAAGGCTTGTTCAGCTCTAGGTCGTTTGGTCAAGAAAAGTTACATAATCACTCACACCCTGAGGATGTATGCCCCACAGCATGAGGCATATAGACAAAATAAGAAAAATGAGAGTGGAATTAGCCATATAAACTTGATTATTTGTGGTGAGGAAGAGGGTGATAGGGCCTCACAAATGGTGGAATTGTTGATACTTGAAATACAAATCATCAAAAAGGGGAGCGTGGTATTTGAGTCTCACTTCTAGGGGTAGGAATAAGAGGAGAGCATGGAGACTGAGCCCCAAGTAGGGAACAAGACACCTAGTGAGTCAGACTCACTAGAAGGGCCAAAGGATAAACAAGTTATGGAGGAAGAAATTCAGACTTAAAAAAATTATAGTGATGCCTACCTTGATGGGGGGACTCAAAACTAAAAACCTTGAAAGGACAGAAAATACTAAAAGGGCCTCATTACAATACAAAGGGCTAGGGTCAATTCATCAGACTAGGTAACATGAACCAATTCAATAAGGACGTGAGGAAACCTCCTAAAGTGGAACAACCCTGATGGGCCCGGTGAACACTCCATA